GAGAGAGGAGAGAGCGAGAGAGGAGAGAAAGGGAGAGAGAGAGAGAGCGAGAGGGAGAGCGAGAGAGGAAAGAAAGAGAGAGAGAGAGAGGGGGAGAGAGATAGAAAGATAGAGAGAGAGGGAGAGAGAGGGAGAGAGAGGGAGAGAGAGAGAGACAGCGAGAGAGAGAGAAGCGAGAGAGAGAGAGAGAGAGAGAGAGAGAGGGAGAGAGGGAGAGAGAGAGAGCCCGCTCTGTCTCGCAGCATCGCACGCGATACGCACGTCGCCGGCGCCGGCTGGGATAACAGTCGTGGCGCCGCTGAGACAGATGTGGTGCGGCCAATCTTCTGACTGACGCGGGCGCCGGCTGACGGATGGCTGTTTTCGGAGGTGTGGGACCCGAGAACCGCGGACAGCCCCCGTCCCCACTCCCCATCCCGCTGTGTCTAGCGCAAATACGGCTCAAATGAGATACGAGACGCAGGAAATGAAACGCAAATGCAGTGCAGCGTCCGGTTGTCGTCAAATGTGACGGATAAGAAGCGGCGAGACGTTTTTCTGCATAGCCGCCCGCGTGATGGAACTCTTTTCACTGCAACGACGAAGAGCAGTGAATTTTGCTTCTGTTCCAGACGCTTTTTCTGCATATTGGTAAGCCACTGAGGAAGCACACGGATCCATTTCTTAAAGGATCAAGTTAATTACTTTCGAGTAATAAATCCTTCCCCGTTATATTACATACAACCACTCCCTTTACCATCACCTCGTAGGATCGCTTCCCCCAAGTATTTTTGTGACCAAGACCGCCTATCCCGTGTTCGTAACAGCGGACAGGTATGAGCTGGAAGCACAGCCTCTATCCACGGATATGAGCGAGACCGCCAATAACCCAGCGGCAACGTGTCAGAAAGCTATCGTGTCGAATTATCGTAATCGATAGCAGCCGGCACTCATTGATAAAGACTTAATTAAACGTTTATCGACATTGAACCGGTTGATGAACAAAATAACGCATCATGACGCTGCATTACGGACAGCGCGTGCAGGTTAGTTCAGCAGATGTTCAGAGAAATAAATATGGGAATACGGTTGTTGAAATATGAATTATACTAAACGATATTTTTATAGCCGTGATAACACACCAAGACGAAGTTGATGAGGTTTCACAGTCTTTATTTTCCGGCTAATTATGCATGTGAAACGTAAGTGACGACGGGTCACGGGAAATAAGTTGGAAACCAGGCCAGCCGGGAAATACACCGATTATGAGTCATGGTGATTAATTTAGTTAAACACATGAAACATAAATAGGATTTAAAATATGTAACTACTCCTCGACAGGTGACAATATACGGGACGCATCGAAAGGTATATAGGTAAGCTAGGCACAGTAGGTACATACTTCCGTCCTTCCGATAGGTTAACGTATAGGTAAAATATTTGTGCGTACATAATACCTAATCCAGTCAGTCCCATAGGCGGCGGAACGGGGAGGGCACCGGGGCACCGTTCCCCCCCTTTGATTTTGGCATTTTAACATAAGCCCTATGGGCGTTGCGTGGAGAGAATGGGACCAAGAGTCGGCAGTGCCCCCCCCCCCCCCCCAATTGAAGGTGTTCCGCCGTTACTGGGACTCAAACGATCAAACGATCGGCTACGTTTCCAGTAACAGGAATCAATTATTTTTCTTGCTTTACAGAAGTTTTCAGAAATCATCTTCAGATAGATTGTACCTTGCTTCCCATACTTTCGCGATGATAAAAATTACCAATCAATCAGAGGAGGATGTAACTAATTGTTATTTGGGTTCATACCGTAGGTAATCTTTGTTTTATTTATAATATAAGCACATGCCCCTCTGTATCAATATGCAGCGGCGTATTTAGAAAATCGCGAAGGGGGGGGGCCAAGGGTTTGGAGGGCGCCACCTCACCCCAGGAGGGCGCCATACGGTCGCGAGATAAAAATCCGCTCAGCAGGGGGGGGGGGGGGTGGAGGCGTTTTTTTACCACGCCACCAGTTTTTTTTTTGCGTGACTTGGTATATAGGTTATGCTGCATTGATTTGGCATCGTGTGTATTTTGTTTTTACTCCAGGCCAAAAAAGATCAAGTCACCCGCTCAGCTTAAGTGACAATGCTTAAAACTTTTTTTTAAGTTAGGTCACTTGACATGACCTGATGACCTTGCTTTTAGCGACTATGGTTTGCATTTTTAGAGCACGTGTAAGAGCAATGCACCAAAAGGTGTGCCACTCCCGCTCACCCACTTCCCTCTCTCCCCCAGGAAAAAAACGGAAGCTCGTAACGTAGTGGCACCTTTTTCGGATCTTTTTTAACCGCATGTCTGAAGAAACCTCTTGGCGCGGGTTCATCTCACACGTGACAAAAAGGTTGCAAGTTATTGGCATAGGTACTAAGTTCCTAGTAAAGAAGAGTTTGTGAAATGCTGCGCCGAAGGCGCGCGAAATTTTTGAAAACAACCTTTTCCTCCGCTTTTTAGGCACATCTTTTGCGTGCTCACTGTTCAAAGCTCTTCCCGCTCTTTTACCAAATTTGAAGGTGTAAAAAATACCTAAGGTTTGGTGGGGCCGGTGCCACACAAGCTGTATAGAAAGCTTTGCCCATGGTGACGATGTAGAAAAGTTTATTGGCGGTGGCATACACACCAGATCACCATATCGGATTGATACCGGAGCGCGAGGTGCGTAAACACAAGCGCACGAGAAGGCGGCAACAACAGAAAGAGAAACCATAACAGGGCTGTTCCTCATGAGATCGATTAGCCTTCTCGGGCTTCTCATCCAAATTACCTCGACCAGCCCTCATGACCTTCTCACAGATGCATACAGTGTTGAGCACCTTCAATCACCGAAACTTGGACGCCAATGGGTAGAAGGGCGGCGATCAAAAGGGGGGCGCCAATAGGTAAGGAGGCTCCGATCAACAATCAACAGGAGGGAGGGTGCCACCATGGGTGAGAGGGCGGCAAGGAACAGGAGAGCACCAATAGATAGGAAGGTGGCGATCAACAAGAGGTCGCTAGGGTAGGAGGGCGGTCATCAACAGGAAGTCGCCAATGAGTGGAAGGGTGACGATTAATAGGAGGGTGGCAATGGTGAGGAGGGCGCCTTTGCCCAAGAGGATGACATTGAACAGGAGGGCGTCTGTGAGGAGGGCGCCGATTTAACAGGAAGGTGCCAGTGGTTAGGAGGGCGGCGATCAACACGAGGGCGCCAATAGGTAGAAGGGCCCCGATTAGCATTCAACAGGAGGGACTAGGAAACCAATAGGTAGGAGGGCGCCAATGGCTAGAAGGACGGCACTCAACAAGAGGGTGCCCAAAGGGAGGAGGGCGGCCATCAAAATTTCACATGAGGGCGCAATAGATAGGAGGGCGCCAATAATTATGAGGGCGCCGACCAGCAGAAGGGTAGCAATGTGTAGCAGGGTGGTGACCTACAAGAGGGCGCCTTCGGGTGAGAGGGCGCCTATCTACAGGAGAGCACCAATAGGTAGGAGTACACCGATCAAATGAGGGCACCAGTGGGCAGGAATGCAGCGATCCTATAGGCTTACGTATCCAGTCGCGATTGTTTTTCGATTCGATTCTATCACAATTGCATTCGCGATTGGAGGGCGCCTTCGGCGCCCAAGGGGGGGGGGCCATGGCCCAGTGGCCCCCCCCCCTGCCTACGCCCCTGTCAATATGGATATGCCAATGCTAATTGCCCATGTTATGAGCTACACCTTTCTCCTAGTCGCCGGCGCAGTCACATCAGTCTCGGGCCCGTTTCACTTTGTCGAGCGCTCAGCGCCGAGCAGATTACAGTTGTGTAACATATCGCGGGTAGGGAATGAGTGAGTGAGTGAGTGAGTGAGTGAGTGGAACATCCCCGAAAAGAGTCCGTCCGGGACCAAAAGCCGAAACCAGTCGGAGTTAATCCAACGATCGATGACTGCCAGATCCTGTGGCGACGGCGTAAAGCTAAATTTTCAGGTATAGGTATTGCCTTTATCATGAGGAATTTTTAATAGCCATAAGAACCTATATGAAAAAATATACATCAAGGATTAGGGAAGATGTTTTCTCTGTGGCATGTTTACGGTTTACCTGAGAAATGCATGGTCACATATGTGTGACTCAAAGCGGGACTACAAAGCTTTCTGATTGCCGGGTCAAGAGGCAGTCACTGAACACTTTTGAGTTGTGAAAGTGGTTTTGTCCTCAAACGTTATCTCCTATCTATTGACACGAGTGCGTCGACAAGCATTTGCAGGATTCGAGTTGGTACGGCCGCAGACTCGATTGACGCATTAGCAGTTCTGATACGCTTTCTGTGCTGTTCACCTACTTTTACCGCGGGCCGGCCCGCGCTTTATAATCGCCGATAGTTATCAGATAAGAATTCATTGGAGAACAGCAGGGATGTTGTGAACTGGCATTAGTTCAGTGCATATCTTGCTCGAGCCGTTTGCGCCCCCCCCCCCCTGCCCACTCCGCAAAAACAAAAAGCAAAAAAAAAAAATGACGGGGATATAACATTTGGAATTTGGATAAATGTCGCTGCTCCCTAACCGTTGCGCTTGATGCCCGACAACTCGCCACACTCCGCCCCTTTGGGGTTGACTGTCTTTCACGCGCCGGCCCTCAGAGATTGACCGAGCTTCGGAGTCCCACTCCGTGCTTAGCCTTTGTAAATTCCTCAGACTCCGAGGTTGACCGTATCCCGGGTCCGCTGCCTCCTATGGTAGGCTGACCGTGTGCCGTATCCCATCCAGTCGCTGGAAAAGTTGCAGGCGACGTCGCCAACTTCACGGACATCAGCGTAGAACTCTAAACCCGGTAGTCCCCTCAGAGACTGACCATGTCCGGGTCCCATCTCTCTTATGCTGATTGTGCGTCAAGTCCCTGTCCCACAGAGGTTGATAGTGTTTCGCCCCCCCCCCCCCCACTGGGAGCTTGACCTGTGACGGGTCTGAATGCTCCCCCCCCCCCCCACTGTCTCCCCCGATAACTAACCGTGCGCTGTGCTCCTCCAGGCAGTTGGACGGTGACCTGGAACGCTCTGGTGGTAACAACCGGCGCAGGCAGCACACTGATGGACTCTCGTGAGCGACTCAGAGCCCTTGTGGCCAGCAGGGAGGGCACACGAACCACCAGGGACAGCCGGCGGCTGATGCGGCGCCCCAGCGGCGGACGGCGGCGTACCGGCACCTCCTCCATTGCTGACCGGTCGCCGGTCACCGCGGGTCAGAGGACGGCGCCACAGCTGAGACACGGCGTGTTCACTGCTCAATTTAGACTAGAATATCAAAGTCCATAATTTTAGAGCCACGTCATTCCATGTCAAGTCGATGATAGCCTGCAGTTGCACTGACACAATTCGTTCGTTCGCTACGGTTGTGTTTCTAGCTGTTCTGCGCCATGCTCGGGTAATTCCACCGTGTTTTCGCTTCACTATCGCTCACTTAATAACGCCGACACCAAAACACTCAAACACTGCACTTCACATCAAACCAGTGCCCCATCGCGACACCGCACACCGCGGAACGATCCACTCCGGCCTCCGCGCCTCCCCCACCCGCACTCCGCAGTCGACTGTCTTCTGCTGTCGCTCGCCGACATACGCGGTCACGTGGGTAGTGACGTCACGGTGCACCGCCGAGTGCGAGCGCGACCGCGAGACTGGGGACGGGGCGGGGCAGAGGAGGGGGCGTGGGTGAGCGTCTGGACTCTGGAGAGGACACATCGGGGGGGGGGGGGGGGGGTCAAGGGAGGCTGAAGGGGACGGGATCGGATGGATGACATCGGATCCAGCGAATGGTCTGTCCCGACGAGCCGTTGTCGGGTGGAGCTGTCAGCTGGAGTAGCAATTAGCATCACTGTGGCGGGGCAAAAGGGGGCGTGCCTCCCCTACTATGCTCGGCTCTTGTCAGAGCAAAAGTAAAATGGGGCGTTCGAATGATCGACAAATATATCTAAGACAGTACGTGCTTTTGTAAGGGTCGGTTCAAAGTACGAGGATGTCACTAAAGATCACAGGAACTGGGGGGGGGGGGGGGGGCGTGCGGGAACCCCAACCTCCCAGACTCGAAGAGGGGGCGGAACCATCAGCCACGTCAACTTCATTGAAGCAGAAATTGCTATGCCAGCATCTTATCTACAGGGGCCGATAATACAACCGAAGCCATTTACATGCCTACATTGCAGAGCTCGACCAAACGGCATCCAAAAAGCCTTTGCTGGTCAATGGTCACGATTCTAAAAAGCATTCAGCTTCATGGAAAAAGTCCAAGATAGTGCCAGCCGTTAGGAGCCTAGCCGGGCATGGGAGGAGAGCTGTGTGGCTCGGGACGCCCCCCCCCCCCATCCTGACCCGCGCCTTGAGGTGACCCGATAGTAAACATCGACGCAAGCGAGGAAGGGGTGTTTTAATACCCTCCTCGAGACTCGAACTCGGCTTTTGGGCCACGTAGTGGCAAGCGGTAAGCGGCATTCGAAAGCACGAACAAATGGTTGAGTCGTGTGCCCTTTTAAGGTCAAGCTAAAGGGCCGGTCACCAGGGGCCGGCGGGCCGCCAACGGCCAAAGGTCTGGTTTTCTCGATTTTCATAGTCTTCAACTGATCAGTTCATCGCTCGTGGACTTATTCATGGATCTTATTCTAGAACATGACAAGGGAAAAAACATTCGAGGTGGATCTTCTAAAAACCTTTCGCAGAATATAGCTCGTGTTTTAAATAAGTGTCATCGGTTTGTTTGACTTTCAAAGAATAAAAACCTTGCAGTTGACAATTTGTGGAAAACTTTCATGCCAAAGCTTACAGCTTCGCCTCGTTTGACGTTTCAAAAGCAAAGGCTTCGATAACACGAAATAAGGATACGTTAAAATGCTTAAAACTACGGAAGCAGGATTATCTGTGCAAAACTGGGGTTTTCGACCAAGTTATTCATGAAAACCCAAGGGGAACAAAAAATTCGTCGTCCATCCAACCCCACGTCCATCCCGCGTGGGTGGGGGGGGGGGGGGGGCGACGCTATATATATATATATATATATATATATATATATATATATATATATATATATATATATATATCGCGTATAACGAAAAGTAAACCATCCATGCAGACCGAAATGAACAGCCGAATGACATTTAATGGTTTTAGTACACCTTAACCTGTGAAGAGGAAAATCACTGGCAATTCAGATGCGTTAATTTCCATACGTCGCCATCCGTATCGATCATGAAAAGAAATGCTGACAGAACGTCGTATATTATTCTTTCTAGCTAATTCGTAAGAACGATTCCTAAGCTCCACACACCAGCATCACCAACTAACACGGACAGATCCAACAAAAAATAAGTTATAAAATAAACGCATTGTTAAAAAGCGACCAACAGTGGAAGTTGCTATCAGATATCATAGACCACATCACCTATGACAGAGTCGATTGTACATTATTACGGAAACGAGGCGCGAGCCCTAATGCGCCATGTTACTAGCGGTCCGGTGCCGTCTTCGCCAGAGAACTGACTCTGCACCTCGTGGGAGCGGAGTCACGGACTCACTCAACACGCACCGCCCTCTGAGAGACGCCCTCAGGAAGTCCGGTCCCACGCGCGGGGGAGGGAAGAGAACAGCCGCTCAGGTGCCCGCGCCTTAGCTCACAACGCTCGAGTCGAACGGGGGCGCCGGACTGTACAGACGCAGCCCTAACGTCCACTGGCTGAAGTCGGCATCGCTACACGAAAATGACGTTCGACGGGCTACATAGTATCCGTCATACCATAGATTAGATCGAGCGAGGATGGGTACACCCAGACGGGAACATGAAATGGCTCTCTCAGAGCGCAGCACGCTGTCATACCACGAACGATCAACGCTGCAGAAATGGATACACAAGAGTTCTACACTGGCAGACGAAACTGCTCTACACTGGCAGCCGAAACAACAGGGCAATGGAAGCGAATGAGAGAAAAGGTACTCTTCAATGGATATTCTTCCGTATTGCGGTTTAACAGGTGACATGGCAGTGACGCATCGGTTCGTAAGGTCGGGCATTGCGCCATAACCCACAATTAACGTGAGATATCAGGTAAAACCAACCATGACTATTTGTTACTACAGAGCTGCCCAAAGTAGTTTACATTATTTACGAACACATTGTCTTAGAAGGTTACATCTCGAGATTCAGGATATTCTGTTTTAGCAGAGTACGGTAAACTGGACGCATCTAGCAAATAGCATCTAGCTAGGTTCATCTAGCAAATAATTTTTCGTGTAATACTGAAATACGGGGTCAGCTGAAAAGAGTTATGTGAATCCGAAGTGCAATACGGCAATACCCATAGGAAGTTTCGGCACGGGATAAACATGCCCCGACAGTTTGGCACAGGATACGGTCGGCATGTCCTAACCGACCAGCAGTAATATCAGTCACCCCCACAACAAACAGCTGAAATACGAGAAACAATATAAAGCAACAGCTAAGCTGGAAATGCACAACAAAAATGGAGTCTTATCAGTCGACACAACCACAAAAGAATCTGAGACTGGCTGTAACACAGCAAAACAATCAGACAAAATAACATCGATAACTTCTTTTCTCTAACAAACAATACTTCAATGATGCTGTTATGAAACATGGTCAAAACTGAACTGAATAAACTCACAACGACCCTTGAAACAAAAACAAGTAAGTGAATGCGGTAGCGACACAAAAAAAAGACATCTAAAAAGGTGTTAAAGCAGCTCCTGACCGCAAACATCCAACACTATCACTCTAGCAACAGGAGGATCCAAACACTTACTCCAAAGAACCTGAACAGACGCGAGCGATTTGAACTAGTCTTCAACGGAAAGTATCAGGGGACAGCTCGACCAGGCAGCTACCATCGATAAATGAGCATGCGATGGGCCACGGGGGAGAGGATGCCCTGACCCGATTGGGCCCGTCCTGTCGGCGCCCGGGAACACCCCGGGAGCCCGCCGTCCACCCGGGGAACCCCCAGAGTATCGAGGTGAGACACCACCCTCTCGGGCTGCTTACATCGATGTGAGAAGCTCCTTCAGCTCCGGCGGCTTCTTGTCATGCACCCGGGTGTGCTTCTTCAGGATGGAGGGCTGCGTGAAGCGCTTGCCGCAAAGGTCGCAGCCGAACGGCCGCTCACCAGAGTGGATCAGCAGGTGGCGGCGCAGGTTGAAGCCGTTGGGGAAGTCCCGGCCGCAGACGGAGCAGCGGAACTCCTGTTTGACAGGGTGCGGGTGCTGCTGGCGGCAGTGGCGGCGCAGCTCGGTGGCCGTCGTGAACACCAACTCACAGTGGCGGCACGGGTTGTCGCCGCCCTCGCTGTGGTACTGCTGCCGGTGCTCCGAGTACAACGTGAAGCACGGAAACGTCAGGCCGCACGGGGCGCACTGCAGCGGCGCCGCCGCCGGGCCGCACCGCGTGTGCGTCTTCAGATGGTCCTTGAGCCGGAACGCGCGGCCGCAGAACTCGCAGCTGAACGGCTTCACGCCGGCGTGCACGGTGCTGTGCCGCTTCAGGTTGTACTTGTTGCGGAAGCTCTTGTTGCAGGCGCCGCAGGTGAGCTCCGTCTCGGAGCCGGGCGGCGACACGCCGTTGGGCGCGGCCGGCAGAGGGTCAGCGCAGTGCAGATCCACCTCGCACTCGAGGCGCTCCTCACTGGTCTCCTCCGGAGCGCCGGCGGGCGCGGCGACCACCGCGGCGGCGGCGCCGGCCTCCTCCCGTGGCTCCCGCTTCACAGAGGAGACGCGCTCAGCCGGCGACGGCAGCGGCGGCGGGAGGGGCTGCCGGCATAAACGGGGAAGTCCGGTTATTCGACCTAGTACAGCTGGGAGCCCGGTGTAACAAAAACGTGTTACTCACGCCTGAGTGGGGACGGAGATAAGATTTCAAATGCCCATGATGTATAGCTGTAGTCAGTGTCTATGAACTGTGACGGTAACAACTAAGGAGACTAAGTCGAGTTTATGAGTAAATCGTATTTTCTCACCTGCAGTGCTCCGAACTTTTCTGCTCGAATTTTCATCATGTCGAGAAACTTTCGCTTGATCTCCTCCCGAATCTCTAGAATCTTAGTTTCGTACGAGTCCAGTGTCATGATGACGGCAGAACACGCCATACAAATATACTGGAAAAGAGAAACGCCACATTAGCCTGCGACATAGTAACAATTCCAGCGGGACATGAGTGCTTCAAAACGACATATATGTACCAAATGGGAGAATGCTACTTTCATACATTTGAGATTACTCTTACACGATTTATAGCACTTCCTGATCAGTTAATCCTTCCGTCATTGGTAAGGTCTCGTAATGTCACCAAGAACAGTTAATGATTTAACCTCAAATATCCGTGAATATCATATAAAAAACATTATATTCCCGTTTTAAGTGATCAATAACTTCTCAGTTTCCAAACACTAGCAAATCATTCTTTATCGTTACAACTTACAAATGATATATTTTGTAACATAAGCATACAATCCCAAACAATTGCCACAACCACCTTACTTACATTCTTTATTGTTACAACTTACAAATGATATATTTTGTAACATAAGCATACGATCGCAAAACAATTGTCACAGCCACCTTGCGTCCATGAATAACCATCGCGGGGTGTAACGCCCGGCATTAGCACGTACCTTCATCTGCCAGTGGTGGGCCGCTGTGTGGAGCGACACCCCACAGCCGGGGTGCACCACCGTGTCTAGCTTCTCCGCCAGAGTCTCCTGCGTGCTCGGAAGCCGGAAGCCGTTGATGTCGACACCGGTGGGCGGCTCGTCAGCGCACGTGATGTAAGAGTCACACAGGATGCAGCGCGAGTCGGGTCCGGCGTGGGGCGGCAGCGGCTCCTGGTAGGAAGCCATGCAGCCGTTTGGCCCCGCCTGGGACAGATATGTGCCCAGGTCCTCCATCATGGTGGCAGCTGTGGACCCAAACAAACTGTTAACTAGTGCACCACATACATTTTGACCAAACACCATAAGGTAAGGCGGTAAGGTATGGCAGTAGGTAGTGTTGACCAGCTGCACAAACATCAATAGCAGTTGCAGAGAAAAAAATCCATTAAAATTAATTCACACCTGATCATAAGCATATCCGGAAAGGTACCTAAGCATTGGATGCTGCAGGCATAACCCCAAAAGGCTCCAAATTTAGTCTTTGGATTTTGATTCACTATACACTACTGCATGATTTAACAGCAAACTTCTGCTAACAAACTTCTTTCATTTCCATAATTTTCTAGGTGATGGTAGATTGTCTTCAATTTTGGGCACCCCAGAAACACATTTACCCCAAATGCCCCCTGAATCTGCCAGTGCCAGTGCACTAGACACCTTCTAGGCTGGAATCATTGGAAATCAACAAAAAATGCAGCACTGAATATGAAGTCCAAATTTGTAAATGGAACACTAAAAGATTACCTACAAACTGATAAGCAGGGCAAGTAACCTCAACCTCTGTGAGATCTGTTGACCCCAGGTCCAAAGGCCGAAGTCTAACTGGCATGCTGGCACATTGGATTTGCAGTGCCCAAACATCCACAGTTCCTTAAAATCCCCCACCTATTATAGTTATCCTACCAGTAACCTGAACCAAGGTAGCCATCTACTGAAAAAAGGGAACCCAATGTGTCTGTCAATCCCATAGTGTGTCTATACCTAGGTTCTTACCGGTATAGTAAGCCTGGCATCCCAGGAAGATGCCAGATACCGTTATACGTCGTAGGTTTGTAGGGTAGGTTGTAGGTTTGTAGGTTGTAGGTAAGGTTAGGTCAGGTCAGGTTAGGTTTGTTTTGATCTATATATCTCCGTCATCCCAATCTGGCATCTTCCTGGGACTGGGACACCAGGCTTACTAATACCCTACTTGCCTAGGTAATCAACAATCAACATGCATACTCTCTGCCTTGTGTATGACCATTGATATTTGATATATGGAACAGATAAACTGTAATCATATTGAGGGTCAGAGACATGATGGTCCAATCAAAATCATAAATTAACAAATATCTGCAGAGGGGACCTTTACGTCTGTGACCACATTACGGCTTACGCACAAGAAAATATCCTGAGCCAAAAAATGATGTGAAGGTAGGTAGCTATCTACACACAAATCAAAATTGAAATCAACTAATAACATCGATATTGACGTGTCAGTACACGTCAATAAAAAGTAAGCTGAAGTGTTGGTGTGGAGTGGAACTTGGAAGCACCTTCGTTTTTCATCAACTCCCAGCGCGAATCAAGGATGATATTGAAACCGTGAAGTGGGTGCCTGATTTTCTTACCCTCTATATAAATTGCCTGAGTGCGGTAAAACAACAATTCTACATTATAAGCCACGTTATTTCACTTTTACATGCCGACCTAACACCCATCCCGAAGCGACCTTCATATTTGTGTTGATTTTGAGAGGCCAATGAAACGGAGAGAGTCGTCATTTATGTCTCATTTCAAGTGCTACCAAATTACGGTACCGTTATAAATACCTTCACCGTAAACCTTCACCTATGCTAATAAGGGCTGCAGCAAAACCAGACCAATGATTAAGGTGCAACGAAACATTTTAAAATGAAAGGCATTTATTTAAAATTATGTAGGGCAACAAAGTGTCTGCTTTCTGAGGAGTGCCTGACATTAACCCGGTTTACATAGCATTTTTGACGAGGCTCTAGCTCGTTAATTTGGCGATAATTTCGATGCAGTGATCTTCAAATATTTAGAGGGGATCATTTTGTAAATTGTTAAGCACCATTGGCATCTTTTGCAACATCACGGACGGAGATATAAGCTTGCAACAAACCCTATGTAAACCGGTCTATTAGCTGCATTGGACCCCGCCGAGAAAGCCTGCGAGTGCGTGAGCCGTGAAAGCACGCTGGCATGAGTTCAAGACTGTTAATATCATGAACGTAATTTTTTGTATATTTTTGCATTCTATTCGCATTTTCAGGGCTATCTAGGGTCAAATACGGAAAAAGTGTCAAGGAGACTTTAGATATAGAGAGCCATGTATAATTTAGTTACAGCTTTTTTTGTTGATACTTGATTGTGGTACCAAGTACTAAGTACCAGAAGTACTCAACATATTTTTAGTTTTTTTTTCTCAGATTTAATGGCATTTTAGTATTTTGATGCTCGATGTTTAAGTATTTGCGTTCAATTTGTTTGTAATTTTGAAAAATATCATTCATTTTCCTCCGCACTGACGCCGAGAGAAGTAAAAAATTTGTCTTTACCCATCTCTAATTTTCACAAGAAGCGTCACATCCGTAGGGGTGTGACGCGTTGTGCGCGTGCGTGGGACCGGCATTGGATGCCCATTGCGTTATGTCTGTAGAACATCTGTGAAGTCTTAGCAACTTTTATAGGAACTCTATCTTCGTTGTTTTTGGGCAGGGAGAATAGCAGGTAAATTGTCAATTGTTTCTCATGCTATTGTACTCGAGGAGTGAGGTCTGAAGTTTTGCTGAAGACACAAAAAGGTCGATCGCTGTCGTGCACGTTTTGGAGGATGCGAATGCTTGTCGCCTTCCTTTCCAAGGCTTGAAAGAGATGATATAAACTTGATGCTATCTCTAAAATACTCAGAACTCTATATTGACTTCTTACTGGCGCCTGTTCTCAAATAAATTGAAGGAAAGCCCGTGCCGTCGACGTAAATGGCGCGTGCCTGACAACCTTGTAGCATGTGCTGTTCTCACAAATATGATTTGCTGTAAGGGGTTGTTACTTCATTAACATTTTTTTGACCATCTGGTCTTCGGTTGATCAGAATGAAATTGTTGCATTTATACCTAACCAAATAATTTTCATGAAGTGGGTTAATCTCGTATTTTTAAGTCACCACAATTATTTTAAACTGACAGTGCATGGTTTGGTGTCACAGATCAAATACAGAAATGGAGTGGTTGCCTGCTTGTGACTCTGCAGACATGCAGAGTCAATCTCAGGTCAGTGAACATGCATTGTTTCATTTGCTTATACCAACATATTGATAATTGTGTATAATTTATTATAAATCACTATTTGCCAAACTGGCATCATGGTTCAGCTTGTATTTTAAAGCTTGTATTACAGGTTTAAACAATAAGTAATTCCAGGGCAGGCTTGGCATTGGAAGAGTGAACATGGCAAATCAGACATCCATGCTTTAATTTTTAAAATGTCTGATGACACTTTTCTAAGCTTGTGTATTCAAAATCCTGTGTTATTGAAAGTGCTTAAAGTATATATATTGGCAGATATCTGGGGAGAATATTTTGCTCTGTGAATGTATTACTGGGTACCTTTAAAAAAATAAATTTAGTCTGAACCTTTGGCTTGTAAGGATTCACAAGGACAGAGCCTCCCACTAAGCGAAGCTTGTTGCATTGACAGTACTTGCCAAAAGATATTCAAGCCCAAGTTATGTGGTATTCTTGCTTTCACTTAAATTTTTTAAGACCAACCATTTTCTCATGTTAAACTGTGTGATTTTTCAATGCTTTGTCATATACAAGCATCAGCAACTGGTTCTGTGGAAGGTGAAAATAATTTTGTGAAGATAAGTTAATCTAAGAAAACCTTAGGTGATTGCAAGAAACCATTGCTGGGTGCCTCTTACCAACCCATTCAAGGTGGCCTTACAAGCAGCATTATCCTTGTTTTGAAAAAAATGTGTTACCATATTTATTTTTTTTCTAAAGTGATCATTTTAAATTCTGCTAAACACTACCAACAAGAGTTTATCTTATGAGTTGAGATGTTAGGCATATATTTGCCAACTATTGCCTAACCTCTACAATTCAGCCAATGTAAATTGTATTCATATTTACTGCAATATTTGTATTCAAATGCACAATAAGAGTTGAATTGATATCCAGGAAGTTTCCAACAATTGCATATTCTTTGATTACTCGATTGAATTCTGCATCCTCATTCCACATTCATGATTCAGATATAAAAAGACAGGTTCTTAACTGCTTAATTTCTATTGTTGCCGTTTTTCTTCTTTTTATAAGAAGGCACTGGCTTGCTTCACAGCTTTTTATTAAGACATGAGTGCCATTGCTTGTGTCTATTTTGATTGGCCTTTTCAATTTACTTAAACTTACCTGTATCTGTTCCTTAACTATATCTTGACAACATATGACACCACCTTTTGTTTTTTCTTGGTTTAAAACTGTGTACTGCACTTTTTTAGCACAACTCAGTACCTATGTGTGCCTGTTTAGATTATAATTAAATTGTGTTCTGTTTTCCTCTCTAGATTGCTGCTCTTGTCAATCCTGCTGCAGTTGACCCTCTGAATCAGAAAAGATTCCACAACTCAGACATGGATATGGGTATGTATGGCACATAGTTATGTGATGTTTGCATTTTTTTATAATAACATGGATCATGCAGTGCTGCTGAATGGCATGTCTTCATCTGGGAAAATGGAGTTTTAATAAGGAACAAATTCTTCAATTATCTCCCTGCATGTATGAAATGAATTATGACTAAATTTTACCTTTTATGTGCAGATCATTTTGTTTATGGTTAATATTCAATAAGTATAATAATTAATATGTAGACCTTGAGACTGTCTTGTTAACCCGCGAGTTGCTGGGGGGGGGGGGGCGTTAAACGCCCCCACTTTTTTCGCCGGGCTATAGCATAAAAACGGCGCGCCGCAGGCGCGCCAAATTTTGTTTACCTGTAGGGAATTAATTGAAGTTTATTGTGACAAAGTTTCAAAAAAAAAAATCGGTCGGAAAAATTTTTGAGATATCGAGGTTTTAATGACGTCATGATTTCTGAGTTTACGATTAAAAACGGCATATGTTCAAAAAATCATATAAAATCACAGAATAGACATACAGACATACCGTAAACGTCATTAGACTGCCAATACCATGAACAATCAAATGGCTATCTTCGATTATTGATTATCGTTCCGCATTTTCCAAAATCTTGAACTGAATCTTGGTAATTTTTCGTGACTTCTTCACGACCGTGATACATGTATTTCTTAAATTGAACTTTTTTAGCCAAACCCGTACACATATGATAAAATGAATGTGACCATCGTGTTCTACGCCCCAAATTACCCATAAAACATGTGTCACAGGCTGCGAATATCAGTTTTGCTTTTCGGGGATATGTGCCTAGGTAACCGGACAAAAAGTCAAAAGGAATAAAGTCAAAAGACAAATAGTCAAAAGACAAAAAGTCAAATGCAAAAAGTCAAACGGGATAAAAGTCAAAAAGATAAAAGTCAAAACGGATAAAAGTCAAAAGACAAAAAGTCAAAAGCAAAAAGTCAAAATGTGCAAAAGTCAAAAACGCAAAAAGTCAAATGACAAAAAGTCAAAAATGCAAAAAGTCAAAAGCAAAAAGTCAAAATGTGCAAAAGTCAAAAACGCAAAAAGTCAAATGACAAAAAGTCAAAAGCAAAAAGTCAAAAACGCAAAAAGTCAAATGACAAAAAGTCAAAAATGCAAAAAGTCAAAAGGATAAAAGTCAAAACGGAAAAAAGTCAAAAACGCAAAAAGTCAAATGACAAAAAGTCAAAAGCAAAAAGTCAAAACGGAATAAAGTCAAAAGACAAAAAGTCAAAAGTAAAAAGTCAAAAGGATAAAAGTCAAAACGGAAAAAAGTCAAAAGACAAAAAGTCAAAACGAGTAAAAGTCAAAAGGATAAAAGTCAAAACGGAATAAAGTCAAAAGACAAAAAGTCAAAAGTAAAAAGTCAAAACGGGTAAAAGTCAAAAGACAAAAAGTCAAAAAATGAAAAAAGTATAAAATAGAAAAGTCGAAGTCAAAGTCTGAAATAAAAAGTCAAAAGGATAAAAGTCGAAGCATCGATCTTTTCATCTTTTGAAAAATATTATACAGCGCAACGTACCCTATCCACTGAAGTTGTAAGGAACATGTGAGTACGCGAGGGATTCTGACAGGTACCGGGGTCCGCAGCAGCGGGGCAGGGACGCTGGCTGCGGTGGTGGGGCCCACGCTCACATAATACGCGTTGAGCGCTTCCGGCGTGCACGCTGGCGCAGCAGCAGCGACACTTTTCCCCGCCCCGATCACCGGCCGCAGCACTGTCTACATCCTCGCCGGTCCTGCCTCACGCAGCTGGTCAGCATAGTATGCCGCATGGTCACGTCTGATGGCCGCTCGACACTGCCGGTTCACCATCGTATACTCGGCGCGCGGGCCGAGCAGTGCGCGCCGCCGCGCCAGCAGCGCTCGCGTGGCGTCCGTGGTGCGCGGAGCACCGGGCGGCGGCAGCCCCTCCCCCATGGGAGAGGGTGAAAAGCAGTGCCTCCTCTAAGCAGTTTTGACTGGGGGGCCCGATCACGGGCAATGACTAAGGTAACCCCTACCAAAAAACGTCTAAGACTAAAAAATGACTAAGGTACCCCTCAGTGACCAGTTTGGAGGATGACTGCGGGGGCTGCAGCTCCCGCAGTTAACATGTTAGAGGAGGCATGGGTGTCGTTTTGTATAGGCATGGTAGGGCCCGAGCCCTACCAATAATTTTGGAAATTTAATATTATGCCTATGGCGTTGCGTGGAAAGAATCGCTTTGAATTGGCAAAAATTTACATTAGAGCCCTACCAATAATTTTCGGAAAGTGTCGCCCCTGAGAGGAGGCCCTGGTGAAAAGCCAAAACCTCAAAATAAAAAAAGAGAGAGAGAGGGAGAGAGGGAGAGAGGGAGAGAGGGAGAGAGAGAGAGGGAGAGAGAGAGGGAGAGAGAGAGAGAGAGAGAGAGGGAGAGAGAGAGAGAGAGAGAGAGAGAGAGAGAGAGAGAGAGAGAGAGAGAGAGAGAGAGAGAGAGAGAGAGAGAGAGAGAGAGAGAGAGAGAGAGAGAGAGAGAGAGAGAGAGAATCATATTCGAATCCACCACTTGGGAAAACCGTAAAAGTACAAAAAACGTGATTTTGGGTAAAGGTGAGGTTAATCGAGCCCGCTCACCTCAGATGACCTTTCGGGGTCAATGGTTGGAATGCACATTGCACAGGGATAGGTATCGTATAACGTCCTGACCAAAACAACATAAAAGGTTTTAATTTGTATCAATAACGCCTCATCTAGGGGAAGCCGGGGGAAGCCCGGGCGCGGGGGAAGCCCGGCCACCCCGTTTCCGGCTAAATTATTCACAATAAAATGCTCAACTGTTTGTCCTTTCAGCGTGGCAGCTAAGGTAACGCCAGCAAAAAAGTTAAGGCTGACAAAAATTGCATATTGTTAAAGTTATAGCGCAAAAATGATATTTTAAGGGTTTTTAGCTAAAAAGTGAGATATGTTGCACTGTTAATGTTGTACCATACAGTACTAATATTTATACGAATGTTATGTAAGGACCGTTTAAGTGTTTGTAGTGAGGGGTGACGAGGCAGGCTGGCTTAAGTATGACATTTTTTCGAATATCGCTGTTCTAAAATAAAAATTAGCACATTGGGGTAACCCCGGGCGAGTGGCCAAGCTTACCCCCAACCGAGAGCAATGCCACTAAACCACTGTTTTCCATGAGATAATAGGTACTGAGCAGGTTTGGTTTACACCTAGATCAAAGATAAATTTCGAAAATAAACATGTTATCATAGACAAAGCCAGTCATGTCACTTAAGGTCAACTAGGGTCAAACTACGTTTTTGCAGATAACGCGACAGACAGTGAAGCTAGAGCTTCAAAAATGGTGTCGTTGTGTTCTTCTTCATCAGCTGAGTCGAATGATATGCAATATGATGCATTAAGGTAAAAAGAAAAATAAATTTTAAGGAATTTTGAAATACACATTTTTTGTCAATTTTGCATCACGATTTTCATCGACCTGTACTGTATATGTAGTAGACGCTAGCTAAAATACCAGTAGTGACATAAACTCTAAGATGTCCAGAGCTAATCAGTACCTTAATATTTCACTTTCCGTTAATATTTGGAAAACACATAACGGTTTCATCAACTCGTTGTAAAGCGCTGGGGAGGTGGCCGGCGTTACCCCTATGCCGGGCTTACCCCAGAAAAATCAACACTTTTTTAAAACTCGATTTTCTCAACCTTATACTTATTCCACGAAACCGAATTTTTGGGAAAACACGGCCAATGAACTTAGCTAGCTAGCAGGATATCAACATTTTATACAGCACGTATGGTATGTAATAAAAATGAAAAAGAGCTTACTATGCCGGGCTTCCCCCGGCTTCCCCTATTTGTGGTAAAATATCATTCCATTGAAAAGTCAGCCGGAGGCTGTATCTCTTATGACATCATAACTTGTGACCTGACCTGGTCAAAAATTTTTATCCAGAATCGTAGTGAGCGAGGGCGCGCGTAGCGCGCCCGAGCGAACGAAGATTCCCATTGGGAGGTCGCTGCGGAAAAGTTGGCTCGGGCCTGTGAGTCTGTGTGTGTGTTTGTGTGTGTGTCTGTCTGTCGAGCATTTTGGGTCCTAGCGCCGAAACGGCTGGTCCGATCGGGACGGGGTTGGTACCATTAGACGCAACGATCCGCCGGAAAGACGATAGCGTCGGTCACGTGGCGATCCGTGCCACGTGTCACGTGTCACGTGCCGCTACGTGGGGCTCTGCAAAAATTTGTTGTCAGGGCTACAGGCCAAACGGATGATGATACAGCCGCCATACTCACAGGCCACATGCTCCCCATAGTGAACCTTCATCCTAGGGGGGTTCGGTCCCGGAGGGGTGCAAGCTGCACGTGCCAGAGGCAAAAAACGTTTTTCACGGAAAACGCTCTAAAACCGTCATCTATTGAGCTAGCACCATGAAACTTGGCAGTTTGGCACACTGATAGAACTCGAGAAGCGCTACAAGATGCCGAAAGAATGAGCGCTCTAGCATAAACGTAGCACGTGATATGACCAAAAAAAAACTCTTTACAAATAGAAAGGTCGCGGGTTCGAACCTCACTCATTCCAAACATTTTCGCCTCCGATTCTGGTCCAAGGCAACACGGTAGTGATGCCGGCATCAAGTACTAAAATATGCGCAAGGGTTGCCCCATCAGCTTTGCAAATTCTCATCACGATCCGCCGCGTCGTTCGGAAGCTATCGCGAGAAAGCGTCACGGGTCGCCTCGACCCGCTGGTCATGCGAGGGTTGATACATATGTTTTACAATGATACAATGAACGACTCTTGACCAGGGCTGCGGAGTCGGAGTCGGAGTCGGAGTCGGAGTCGGAGTCGGTCGGAGTCGGCAGTTGTGACCGGAGTCGGAGTCGGAGTCGGAGTCGATTTTAGAAACCCGAGCCGGAGTCGGAGTCGGAGTCACCGAAAATCTGTGGACTCCGCAGCCCTGCTAGGTCTGCGGAGTCGGAGTCGGGAGTTGGAGTCGGTCGGAGTCGACAATTCTGCCCGGAGTCGGAGTCGGAGTCGGAGCTGGTTTTTTAAAGCCGGAGTCGGAGTCGGAGTCGGAGTCGCCGAAAATCCATCGACTCCGCAGCCCTGCTCTTGACTTTTGACGATGTCTTGTTTATCTTATTTCCATTTGAATTTAACCGTTTTCACTTCAAGTGGCTTTGACTAAGGTTTTTTTTAGTTTCGTTTTACAATAAGACAATACAAATTATTAATATTTGACTTTTTTCTTTTGACTTTGTACATATTTGATTTTTGACTTGTCTCCATTTGACTTTTATTAATTTGACCTTTTGCGGTTTTGACTTTTTGCTTTTGGCTTATGGTTTTTGACTTTTAGGAATTTTGACATTGATCATTTGACTTTTGTCTTATGGTTTTTTAGATGTATGACTTTTTACTTTTGACTTTTTCTTATTTGACTTTTTCCATTTGATATTTATCATTTTGACTTTTTTGCCGTTTTTTTCACTTTTTGTCTTTTGACTTTTCGCGTTTTTTGACTTTTTGCCATTTGACTTTTTGCTTTTGACTTTTTGCGTTTTTGACTTTTCGCCATTTTGACTTTTTGCCATTTGACTTTTTGCTTTTGACTTTTTTCGTTTTTGACTTTTCGCCATTTTGACTTTTTGCCATTTGACTTTTTGCTTTTGACTTTTTGCGTTTTTGACTTTTTGCCATTTTGACTTTTCGCCATTTGACTTTTTGCTTTTGACTTTTTGCGTTTCTGACTTTTCGCCATTTTGACTTTTTGCCATTTGACTTTTTGCGTTTTTGACTTTTCGCCATTTTGACTTTTTGCCATTTGACTTTTTTGCTTTTGACTTTTATCCGTTTTGACTTTTATCCATTTGACTTTTTTCCATTTGACTTTTATCCATTTTGACTTTTTGCATTTGACTTTTTGTCTTTTGACATTTTGTCTTTTGACTTTTTGTCCTGGAATCATGTGCCTACCCGGTTGACCCTATGCTTGACTGACCCCTACATGGAGCTGACACTCTTGTAGGCCTTGTGTGATGGATTGTGCACCGTTTTGACAGAGTTTATGACGAGAGGCGCCCATTGCGAAGTCCTGAAGTCCATGCTACTGAAAGCCCGATTTCAGGTGTTTGACCTGACCTTGACCCGACCTGTGACCTCAAAATTCAACTTTAAAGTACTCATCTGAAGCGTCTCGTCGCGTTCTTTCGTTTGCCGCCTCGTGCGTTTCGCTGCGCCTATTGGTTCTCGAGTTATCGGCTGGGGGCGTTTAACGCCCCCCCCCCCCCCAGCAAACGGTGGGTGGCGAAATACCCCAGCAACTGCCTTGTTAATGTTGCTGTGCTCTCTATTGTCTTCCACCTATTATATTTAATTTCACCTGGTGTGCTTATGCCTTATGGTTGTTGGATCAATAAGGAAATTTTTGCATCACTTGTCAGCAGTTGCAAAAACCTTATTTCCATTGGATACCTATGACAAAGTTTATGTAAGCTCCACTTCTATATATAAAAATTAAGATATATTGATAAATTCATATATAGTCATTTAGAAGGATAATATACCAAAATTGTAAAGTGAAGGATTTACATAAGCTATGTTTAGTTCCATTTTCTAAGCATTAAACCAAATGCTTCTCGTTTCCCTTTAAAACAAAATAATTGTCACCATTATGTACTTTCAATTTTTAAACTTTAACCCTCGCCGGCACAGGGGGGGTGATGCAACCCCCCTAAGGTTTTTCGCGAATAACTCGCGTAAAAAGCGGCCGATCGCGACGAAACTTTCAGTACCCTCGCATTGATCGATTTTACACCTACCCTGAAAATTTCATGACCCTGACCCCAATGACCTTTGACCTGTGACCTCTTTTCCGTGACCATGTTTGGCCGAAATCGCGATTCGGCGTATGTCGGCTCGCATTAGCCGCGCGTTTGCAAGCTTTTCGTGGTTTCAAACGTTCAAACATGTGATTTGATGCTGCTCCCATACATTAGGGTGGGTGTCAAGGTCACCTGAAGGTCAGGTCAGGTCATTGACCTTTGGTGACCTCGGGTGACCTCGGTTCACTTTTTCGAGTTTTACATGTTTCTAGGCTAGTTTTTGGAGCTGAATTCGAATTTAGCAGCCATTTGAACATTTACGAAGTAGTTTTGGTGCCTTCGTAACATGTTACGAAGCTGTCAGAGGCGGTTGACACGTATTACGAATACCCGTCACAACCCCTACCGGTTGACCTGACCTGACCTGACCCGACCTGGTCTAAATGCTTAAATACATCATCTCTGATCAAAACTAACACGATATTCGTGATCAGCACCCCGAAAAAGCACATAGCAGCCACACTTAACGACTTCTAACAGGTCCCGATTTTCCCGGTTTTCGGGTCATTGACCTGACCTGGAAGGTCACCCGATGACCTGGGACCTTAAAATTGGGTATCATCGGCTTCCTCTCGTGACGGGCAACACGCTCGTTTTTTCCGCGAAGCTCTAGCTCGATCAGGGGCCAAACGCGAGGGGGGGGGGGTCGTACCAACTCCCCCCTTGTGCCGTCGAAGGACGCAAAATGGCCTGTGCCGGCGAGGGTTAAGTTCAGGTCCCCACTCGTGTCCTTGCCTTAGATGGCCTCTCCTATCAGATATCAACCTCCAACGTGTAGTTCCATCGTCTACCTGAATCCAGCAGAGCAGTCCGTGATAGGAGGAGACCTCTCTGGTTGTAACAGTCAGCCACTGACTCGGGACGCCCCTCCGGCGCCACTGACCGCCCGCTGATGGTTCAGGCCCCGACGGTAAGCGGCCGCCGGTGATGGGCGACCCGTTCGGCGCCGGGCCCGGCCTGGCGGCCATGCGCGACAACGGCGGCGTCGGTGGCGTCGAGTCTGAGGACATGACGGTGCCCGACCGGATGGTGGGCCTCATCATCGGCCGCGGCGGCGAGTCCATATCGCGGCTGCAGGCCGAGAGCGGCGCCAAGATCCAGATGTCTCCGCAGGCCATGGAGATGAGCAATGAGCGGCTGTGCACCCTGACCGGCTCGCGCGCTGCCATCGAGCGCGCCAAGGAGCTCATCAACGCCATCGTGGCGTCACGCGCCAACGAGCGCGACCGAGACCGGATGATGGGCGGCGCCGGCGGCCTGGGCGACATGATGGTGGGCAGCGGCGACCAGCCCGGCCAGAGTACGGACGAGATGATCGTGCCCAGCTCCAAGGTCGGACTCATCATCGGTGAGTAGCGACGGCGTGTGGTAGGCCGGAGACGGCTCTCCGCGTGACTGAGTGACTGACTGTCGATCTGTGGACTGGAGATGGTCTCCCAGTCGACGACGACATGTGTATTGGAGATGATGTGTCAGCGGCTGCTGACTTGTGGTTTGGAGTTGTTGTTAGTGCTATTTTACATATTCACCAGTGATGCAGGAAATGCTATTCAAACTTCTTACATAATTATCTTCTGAGCCATTGGCTCATGGATACACGCAACAACATGGAATGGAGGACTCCGTTTGTTATTCTGCCGGTGACGGTCTTTTTCCGTTCTAAAAATAAAGATGTCAGTTCTGTGTCAGTTTCTAGCTTTGCTTCCCAGAAGCGAATAATTTATAATCCAGTGAAGTTGTTGCAGATTTGAAGACTGCCGCTGTGCCTTTCCTACAAAGCAATGTCTGTTGACAGGCAAGGGAGGCGAAACGATAAAGCAGCTGCAGGACAAGAGCGGCTCGAAAATGGTCGTCATACAGGACGGTATTTACGCCAACGCCCCCGAGAAGCCTCTCCGAATCAGCGGCGATCCGAAGCAGATCGAGGTAGGCACGCGTGTTCCGCTCCCCTCCGCTCTGCAGGGGGGGGGGGGGGGGAGGGGTGACCCCGACCCGGGCGCGGCTCACTCGGTATTGTTTATGGTCATCAGTGGGTATTCCGATGGGATGCTCGTAACATCGTAAACAAGGAGGGATGGGCAATATGTTGCAGTGCCGACCCGTGCAATGGTGCAATGGGTTTCTGTCGATCTCAGTGTCATCAGATTTAGCAACTATACGGAAACGTGGAAACTGAGTCGTGTAAGTGCCTGCATCTTCGATTGATTTACGCTTGCAGCTGTCTCAATAGCAGACACTCAACCACGCGAAATCGACTTTCGGGCTGCTTGTTGCGCACTGATCACTGGCCGTGTATAAATCTCTCCTTTAACTTTGTTTGATATGACCGCTTTCTAATACTCGTATGATATTATGGGGTCCGATGCCCACCGCAGCCCGAGTGCCCTAAACACCCAAATCATCGTCATCAAATCGGGAGCAGTTGTGCTGCGTGCACTGACCCCGGGTAGCGGCGCCGGTGTCTGGACCGTGTTTGCCCGCTCTGCGGCCCGCTCTGTGCCAGCTCGGCCGCTCGGCGGCGCCGGCCGCAGAGTTTCGTCACCGTGTTATTGCGATTGGCCGTGGGCGCGGCTGTCAGTCGCCGCGGTCGCCGCTGTCTGTGACCGGTGTGCGCTGGCCCCCACAGCACGCCAAACAGCTGGTGGTGGAGCTGATGGCCGAAAAGGACAACTTCTGCCCGCCCGGCGGACGCATGGGCAGCTTCGGAGGACGCGGCTTCGGCGGCGGCACTACGGCTGAGGTGGGTGCAGTGGCCGGGCGCCGACCCCCTCCTTGGAGACACGTGCCCGGGGTGTGCACAGCGGTCACATTATCGGCGCACCGACATAAGTAGTGTCACACCGGCTCGTGCTGGGCTGATCGAGGTAATCAGCTGTAATCAGGTCCCTTTTTGGCGTTCGGCATTCGGCTGTTGCGTTTTAAAGTGTTATTCTACATTTTACCGCGCTGTTTGCAGTCAATTTCGCCAAAAAGGTTCTTTGCTTTTCATTTTGGCTCGATGTTCATGGTAATTTATGTTGCCTAATTCGAAAACGATTGTTTATTTATCATGCTGTGACACTTCATTGGCAGTTGCTGAGAGCTCGTTTCCGTCGGCGGCAGCACACGTCGCGAATGGTTCCCTTACTGTGTGTACAGGCTGCGCGATTGCTATCTTTTCCTGTATGCAGATAGCGGATGGTGTAGGATAACGTCGCTTTCCCATGACGTCCGGGGAATTTCTCGAATGGCGTCAGTGGACGGGCGCGGCTGACTCGCCGGGCGGCGGTCCCCGAAATCTACTGCGTTCCGTGTCCCGTGCATTGTTTTGCAAACTGGTAAGCTTGCAGCAAACTAGTTTGGGAGATTAGGCTGATAGTGGTAGTGGGGCGCTGGCTGGCGCGGCGGCTTTTGGAACTGCCCGCTACTGGCCTCTGTATTGGTGGACAGCTCCGTGCGCGCCCGTCGGCTGTGGGAACCCGGGCCGGGCCACGTGGTGTTCTCCGAAATACTCGGTCATGCAAAGCGAGTCATGCAATATACGGCGACTGACGTCGACCAGTGGCACACATTTACTCGAATCCGGACCCGCGCTATTCTTACACAAACTGGACGTCACTTGTCCTTAATTAAATCAACTTATTAAAGTGAATGTGACCGATGCTGGCCGATTCAGTATTTTACCAGCGTTTTCAAATTCAGCTCCTGACGTACAATGACTTAATCACCCGACATGCTGGCAGTTTTTCAGTACCAGAGCTATCAATGCTGCCAGCTGTCTCTGTCACGTGGGTCCCAATAGCTTTTTCGTTACGGCTACCCAATCATCATTGTCATGCTCTGTGCCGTGCCTTCGTCTGGCCTTCGTGACTGGGATCCCTCCCCTTTCCTCTCTGCCCATTCTCCGTGACGCTTGAGCCCTTTTCTCTCATTTTGTTCGGTCTCCCTGTCGCGGGCCTTTGCGGCTCTTTCCCCATGGCTCCCCGCATCCCAACTGACTGTGCGCTCCGTGTTTCAGATCACCGTGCCGCAGGCAGCCGTCGGCGTGGTGATCGGAAAGGGCGGAGAGATGATCAAGAAGATCCAGAACGACACCGGTGCCAACATTCAGTTTCAGCAGAACATCTCGGGCCGTAACGAGCGCACGGCAACCGTCAGTGGCACGCCCGACCAGATCGAGCACGCCAAGGTGATCGTCCAGGATCTGATCGAGAGTGTGATGAAGCGCGACCAGCAGATGGGCGGCTACGGCGGGGGTCGGAACGGCAACTGGGGCGGGGGCGGCGCCGGAGCCGGCGGCGGCTTCGGCCGCGGTCCGATGGGCAGGGACGGCAAGCAGGAGATCAGCTTCCCCGTGCCGGCCAACAAGTGCGGCATCGTGATCGGCAAGGGAGGCGAGACCATCAAGGCCATCAACATGCAGTCGGGAGCGCACTGCGAGCTCGACCGCCGGCCGCCGCCCAATCCCAACGAGAAGATATTCCTGGTGAAAGGCAGTCCCGACCAGGTGGAGCACGCCAAACGACTCATCTGCGAGAAAGTCGGCATAGTGAGTACCCATGGATAGGGAGGGGACTTTGGGAAGGCGGGCTGCTATTTCATTGATATGCCTGTTTTTGGTGGTCAACCTGGGAATCTGATTCTCACATACGTGGTAGCTGCCGTTTCTGATAAGATAGCGATAAAATGCGGCTGAGTTATAGCGCCCACATTATCGCGGGTCGGCTGTGGGTGGGATAGCAGCTGTTGCCGGGGTGATAGGGCCGAGTGCGGTGTCTCGGCCCGGCCTGGGTCACACACCTGTCCACAGGGGCCTGAGACCGGGTGCCAGTGGTGGCCGGCAGGCACACTGCCAGCTCGTTTCTATCTGACAGCCCGACTGTCGTATTGTCGGCTACTGTCCATCTCCGCCCGAAATTAAATAACCCAATAGAAATTAAATAATGGTATTGTAAATGGTGTTCAACCTGTCAGGTCCGAAAGTAGTTGGCGTTAGCGGAATTAGGCATGAGTAAAGCGCAATATTATCTTTTCTGGTTGATCGACTAATATTTGTCATCCTCCGAATCCACACTACGCCGCATCCCATGAGGTGTCAAGCGCTGTCTTCTCTAAAACTGTACTCGCTCAGTTGCCAACTATCTTTCGAGGGCCTCATAATGCCTCATTGAATCATTAGCATTCCGTCATTTTACAAGAACCACTCGACTGATAGGACGATGTCGCGTTATCCGACCGTCGCTAAGTGTGTTAAGCAGCCTTTCCCGCCGTTGATTCACCTCCGTCCCGTGCCGCGTGTCCGCCTCCCACTGACCCGATGCGCTGTCCCCTCCCCAGCCGTACGGTCCCGGCGGACCAGGCGGTCCAGGAGGGCCCGGTGGTCCGGGCGGACCGTTCGGCGGTCCCGGCGGTCCCCCGGGCGGACCGGGTGGTCCCGGCGGCTACCCGCCGCAGGGCTGGGGCAACAACTTCCACCAGCCGGGCGTGTGGGGTCAGCAGCAGAACGAGCCGCCCAAGCAGGACAACAGCTGGAACAGCTACTACCCGCAGTACTACGGCGGCCAGGGCACGCAGGCGCCCGGCGCCGCGCCCCGACAGCAGCCGCAGAGCTCACCTGGTGAGTACAATACACAGGGAGGGACAGGCGCCCGGCGCGGCGCCCCGACAGCAACCGCAGAGCTCATCTGGTGAGTACAATACAGGTACAGAGTGACAGGCGCCCAGCAGCAGCCGCAGAGCTCACCAGGTGAGTACAGTACAGGACACAGAGGGACAGGCGCCCCGACAGCAGCCGCAGAGCTCACCAGGTGAGTTACAATACAGCTGACATAGAGAGGCGCCCGGCGCGGCACCCTGACAGCCGCAGAGCTCACCAGGTGAGATACAATACAGACACAGAGGGGCAGGCGCCCGGCGCAGCACCTTGACAGCCGCAGAGCTCACCAGGTGAGTTCATGCATACAAACAACATATTAGTTATCATTGCATACTTACGGACGGCAGGATTGCTTTGGATATGTACCCGGCTCGCCGTTCAGATGGACTGTTGTTTTTTCATCAGCTTCTTGTGTGTGTGTGTTTTTTTTTTTAATCAACCTGTTTGGATATGGAGAGGGGGCTCAAAGGAAATGGTTTCTAGCTGGCCGACGTTCTGATAGTCATTTCTCATTATCCGGATTGTTCGGATTGATAACGATAAGAGGAGAGGTTTGTACTAAGCAATGCACTGTTTGTCAATGCCTTTTTTGTCAATGACTGATCATGCATCCCACCCCTGTGTGCCTCTAGCGACCGGCTCGAACCTGAGCGGTCAGCCGGGTCAGCCCGACTACAGCGCTCAATGGGCCGAGTACTACCGCAACATGGGCATGGTACGTGAGGCAGAGGCCATCGAGCAGCAGAGCAAGCTGAAGGCGGCCAGCGGCGGCGACCCGGGCGGCGCTCCGGCGGCCGGCGGCGCCGCCCAGCCAGCCGCCAACGGCACTCAGGCCGACTACAGCGCCCAGTGGGTGGAGTACTACCGATCACAGGGCCTCGTCACCGAGGCGGCCAACCTCGAGCAGCAGATCAAACTGACAAAGGTAACCGGCCACGCCGACCGGGTGTGTGTGACGTAGGGGAGGCGCGGTGGGGCGCGGTGTTTTCCTTGTTTTGTGAGTTTCTTGTTACGTAATTATCGGTCCGGCTGGTGAATCGTCCGGTTATTGTTGATTTCTGTTGAGGGAGGAAATACGGGTGAGATTCGTTGTTATTGAATTATAGATGAGCAACCGAGAAGGACATTTCCATGGGATTTTGGCATGATAAAGTTCAGCTTTACTTTTCCATATTTGTTTCAGCTCACTGCTCAGGATAGCTGAATAGCTAAAAATGTTAATAAACGTGCTTATAAGTTATGACGAATATTTCTTCGGCACGGCTCGTGATTAATATGTACATATTTCTTACAACTGCGTATCCAATAAAGCTCGCATTCCACCAAGTCGGCGAGAGTTTCTCCGATTTTATCATGGGATACGAATTCTGCTTTCACATTTGACTTCCGGCGGCTTTCGGAATTAATGACAGTGATAAATGTTTCGCCTTGTGCTGGATTAATTTTCAATCAATCTTTAATGTTTCATCATGTCTGCACTGCCCCGATCGACCACCGTGTCTAACCCGGCCCCTCCCTGCTCCCCCGCCAGCAGCAGCAGTCTGCGGCGGCGCCGGCGGCCTCCGTGGCGGGCGGCGCGCCGGCCGGCTACCAGCCCCAGCAGCACAGCTTCGCAGGGGCGTACGGCGCCGGCGCGCCCGGTGGCTACGGCCAGTACGGCGCGTACCCGGGCGCCGGCGACAACTAGCGCCGGTCCTCACCGACGGTCACTTGTCTGTAGTGTCGGTAAGTACCGCGCGCGATGGGGGCTTCTCAGCCACCGGGGCCCACTACAGTCGCGAGGGCCGCAACAGACGGTTTTGATGAATGATGACGGTTTTGAAATTGTATGCCATCGCTAGTGAATTTGCATGGCTACTCTTTGGGTTTAAGAAAATGTAAATTTTGAATTTCAATCACGTAGGTTTTGTATCTTTATTGAAAGGTTGTTTTATGCGATTTTTTTCTTCTGTAATGTGTTTTTGATTACACAAGCCTTTCTTTTGAATTTATAGCCGGGTTTTGATTCCAACGTTTTTTCCCTTTCAGTGTTGCTTACTCAACGCTTTTATAAGCGAGCCGCTGCCTCACGCTTTATCTTGCTGAAACATATTTAGTTACATTTATAATTTGCCTCGTATTCCGAGCTGCCCGACATAAATTTATTGTCGTCAGCAGACGTCAGACATGTTCCCCCTCGCCAGCCAATGGCCATTGACTTTTGGCGTTCAAGATGTCCATTGGTCCATCTCCCGTCCGTCCCTGCCCACGAATGTTTGGCCTTTGGGATCCGTGTCCTTGCGCTCAGGCGCCGAGTTTACTGACGCCCGTTCCCGCCCGTCCGTGTGTTTCAGATACCCGATGTGCCCCGTTCGCTGAATACGCTGTCTACCAGTTGTTTTGTTGGTGTATGATTTTTCGCTGCGCTATTCACTCATCCACCTTTGTCTCTATCTCTCTGCGCGGGGCGCGGGGCAGCACTTGGCGGCCGGAGGGCGCCGGCCGCCGCCCCGCACCCCGCCCTGGTGTGCGTGTGCTGCTGCCGCTGTTGCTACTGCTGGTGACGCCGCTGTTTTAATTTGTTGTAACTGTCTGTCCGTCTTTGCCGCGCTGTGCGTTGGCCGGGGCCGGAGGAGCGGCGGCCGCGCGCGGCGCCGTCGCTCCGCGCGGCCCCGGCCGGCCGGCGGCGGCGCGGCTGCCTCTGGCCGCGCGGGCCCCCTCTCCTCGGTGGTGTGTTGTCGGCCGCGCTGCTGCGGCTCGTGTCCTCTGTGCGGGTCACTGTGGGGGATGGGCGGGGCGCTGTCAGGTGCCGACTCAATGAGCTGTTTAAATCTTTGACTCGATCTCGACAGTGTCGTTCTTGAAATTGTATGCCATCACTAGTGAATTTGCATTTCAGTGGTAAATAATATTGATTTGTCGTGCTTACTGTGGGATTGCCGTGAATCTCGTGACGTACTGAGGTGTTGAAATTGCTTATGGTATAGCTATGTCCCTACATGTGCATTGTGGTGCTTATATTACACGACCAAAATAATGACGCCAACCCTGGGGCGAATCGTCCCTCACATCTAATACGCCTAGCGTACAAATGACGCGTATCTTGCGAGGCATTACGTTCGTCTGCCTCCCAGTGTTAGTGTTGAATAATTAAAATGCGTACAAAGTAGCAATTGAAACGTCATCACCCGTTTGCTATGCGCGGCCGGTGGGCCAATGTGCAACGTACTGTATTGCAGTGTTCCAAATGTAGCGAGAGGGGGGCGCGGGTGCCGGCCGGGAGCCGCGGCCTCACGTACCTGAGCAGGGTAGGCGGGCCCATCGTCCAGCCGGCTCCGGCCGGCCGGCGCGCTGCCCGCCCCGCCGACGACGTATAAAACATGTGTCCCGTATACTATTACTTGAGTGTTGTTGATATTTTTTCGTATATCTCTTAGCGAAAGTTGTCACGTGCCGAGTTCTCATTACATAGACGTTGATTTTTGCCTCATGCTCGCGCCTGTCTGTTCAGTTGTATTGAACGGGGTCGGTTTGTTCTGTTTTGGATAGGCGCGTCTTGCCGACCGCCCCGACCCCTATATATGTCAATTACCCGTGTGTTTTTGCTGCTGCCGCTGCATTAGTGTGTCTGCGCTCTGGATAACAATGTATATGAACATGCATATGGGGTATTTTTGATCAATGCGTAGCGTGACGATACGATATTGGACTTTAGCTCAGGGTCGCGACCGTTCGGAGCCGTGCAGCCGCCGGCGGCGCCGGGCGCTCGTCGCCCGACCACTCGCCTGCCTACTTACCGTGCGAGAGCGAGCGAGCCAGCCGGCCGGCCCACTGCGGCCGTATATATCTAATATGCGTGGTGATCCTGTGCGTGTTGAAACTAGCGATTGGCACCTGACAGCTGCCCCGGGGTCTTCTGTGAGGTCATAGTTCGGGTCTTAGTGTGTGCTTAAGTTGATAACGCTGTAGCGACGACATCCGTGTGTGTTGTGTTTTTGGACCGTTTTTCTAAGTCTTTCATACGGAAAATTTATGTGCTGTCATCCATTCGGTGTTGTAGTGACCGTGCGCGCCCGTGGCCCGCCGCGGCGCGCGCGCGGACCTCTAATACAGCTCACTCTCTGGCCGTGCGGCGGTACGGCCGGTCCGCCGGCCCGCCCCGCCGGCTCGTCCGGGCGACACGGCCCTGTTGCCGATTCAGTGTTGTAAGTCTGCACCATATTGAAAAATAAAACTATACGGAGTGGTTTACGTGATAACGTGGACGTTTGGTTTTTGATGATATATGTGGGTTCGGAATGGCTTGCATCCCTGGTTGGTGGTTACGTAATGTCTGGAAATGATGGCATTCTTTCTCGACGATTGGCGAAATCGGCACGCCCACGCCGGTCGTTCTACCGGATAGCGCTTTCAAGTCCGCTCAGAGAGAAACTGATCTTTTTCATAAGTGTCGTTTGGCGTGTGAGCTGCGATCAATACGACATTCTTACTCGAATCGCCACAATGGTTGATGCTTAGTTGCAGCCGTGCTAGCAATGTCGTTTGGAGCTTGGAGCATAGTAGTGGACTATTCATCATCATGACCTAGCTAATGGTTTCTTTAAAACATTAGTTCAAATTTCGCGACCGATAGCAGGGCCAATCCAATGAGCTGAGAACGTCCATGATGGGATGTTCTCACGCATGCTGCCAATGCTCATGGAAATGTACATTCGATACGGAAACTGATTATCAAAGCATGCTATCTAAAGACTAAAAGCAGCCCACGAGATACGCCTCCAGTGCCACCCAAGCAATGTTAAATGTGACTAGCCGAGCGATGATCGAGGGACGTCAATGTCATAACCTCCTGTTTCAAGGAAAAGTCTGCTCTGCTCGACAAAGGTGTTGGGGACATTTTCCATATTCAAGTGGTAACCGCTGCAACAAGTTACCAGCCGAGGGGCACCTTCAAAGCCTATCAACAAATACTGACACCGAATCACACTAAGGTCACCGCTTTTGTGGTTTCTATAAAACTCGCAACATCTCATGAGTCCATGTCGCCCTCCTTCCCAGGTCTGTGAAGAGTCCAGATCAGACCACTCTGTGATGACTAGAGATCAGCTGTGTATTGTCGCCGTTGTACCCGGTTCAGATGTACTCCCTGCAGAGTGCGGCCATGTGGTCGACGCCGCAGGCCACCTTGGTGACCCGGGCGGGGATGGAGACTCGCAGCGGGAACAGGCGGTCCTCGGTGTGACCCAGGCCGAGCGCGCCGTGCCGGTTGTGACCCCACGTGAACAGGTCACCGCCGCTGGTGGTCACCGATAGGTGGTACAGGCCAGACACCACCGAGACGGGCGTGTTGTCTGAGGGAACAACAGACAAACGGTACAGATACCAGCCCGAGACGGGTGGCTGTATGGGGTAGAGGTTGGGCTCGGGCATCGGACCAATGGTAAATCCCAGAAACGAACGATGAACATGTCTGAGGGAACAACATTAGACTACACAATTAGTCTACACATCGAGACAAGCGTTACGCTCATGAGTCAACCAAAGATGGCCAATCGGTTCGAGGTGTAACCAACTACCCGTCCCCTACGACCCTCGGAAGCGTGGCGCGTCCCCTACCGGGGCTGAAGTCGTTCCGTCCCAGCAGTGTCGGCGGTATCAGAGAGGGCTCCTTTGATACGTCCAGCTCCGGGCCCTTGCCGAGCATCCCATAGCCCCACACGTACACCTCTCCTCGATCTGCAAACACGATGTAGGCTGTAAGTGATGACAAAAACAAACCGGTTCAACATTCATCGGTACATATTAAGGCGCATGTAGTGTCCTATGGTGTGAAAAAATATGAGAACTCGATCCCCGAAAACTGCCCATTCGGTGGCTCAGTATCGCTGAGTTCTTGGGCTTCTAATCCGTGAATCAACATCTTTATCGTCTTTCAGCATACCGAGAAAGCGGAGCAGATAGCAAAGTCAAACACCGGTTACTACAGTCTCAGTGTGAGCGTATTTGCCGTAATGCGTCACTCGAAACCCTGAGTAATAAAAGTATGAAGAAGAACAAACGACCACGAAGTCCAGATCACAGTTGATAAGATACGGCACAGTGTCGAGTACTAGTCAGTCTGTACCACAACATTCCATTCATAAAACTCAACAACAGCTGACTGCAACGCACAATCAAACCCAAATACCCATGATTTGCCTGCCCATCAGCAAATTTTCCAATACTACTGAGATTGACAGTGCAGGCTTCCCCCCCCCCCCCACACACACACACTAGGCACCCCAACTGACCGTTTAGCACAGCACACATGGTGCCGGCGCTGGCCACATCTGTGACCTTTCCGACGCCGAGTGGCAGCCTCCGGGGCACGTTCAGCTGCTGTTCCTCGGTCACACTGGCGAACTGGGCGTACTCCGAGTTACCCCAGCCGAACACGTCACCGGACTCTGTGGGAAGACGGGTCGCAACGTAATAAAACGGGACCACAGGGCCATTGATTACGCGAAAGAAACCCCGTAGCATAATAGCCATCGAATTCGAGAACAGAGGAAACGTTTTTATCCATCATCTCCGCCACATGACATGACGCCCGGAATAGCCGTTCTCGAATGGATGGGTTTGTCGCGACGTGAAATAAACAAATAGATAAATAAACATCACATTTGTGCGGGCGGGACAGCAGCAACAACACTACTGACATCGACCCCATGAGACCATTACACGTGACAAATGGTATGTTCATAGAGGGGCAACTTTGAGACAAAACGCCTACTAAAAAAGGCCTGCTAAAGAATGCTCGTTGAAAAAATGTCCCTCATCTAGCTATTACAGTCAACGACAGTCTTCCTCGCGCATTTGTCGGACCCGCACCGCGCCACTCACCACTGACGGCCAGCACACAGTCTGCCGAGCAGGCCACCTGGACGATGCGCTCTCCCTCGAGGTCTCCGCCGGCCGGTAGCGCCTGCCAGCGGCTGTCGAAGGCGCCGCTGCCGAGCTGACCGTCGGCGCCCCAGCCGCAGCAGTACACCCGGCCGCACTCGGTCACAAACATACTGAAATGACAGTACGCTTGGTCACAAACATACTATGGCAGCAGGTACTCCCGGTCGACACCGGTCACAAACATACTGGGGGTCACAAACGTATTGCGGCGTCTGGGCCGGAACAGTACACCCTTCTGATTGAGGTTGGCCGGGTACGATTTATTGTAGGACGAACAAAACTAGCGACGTTAATGATAACTATGTACTCAATTTAATGCATATGCATGAGAGCCCAATATGCCCAGGTTTCCTTCCTTGGTTTCGTCCACCTTCCAGAGCAAAGCCAAACTCCACCAATGCGAAATGGCCTTCAATGGCTCTTGCAGCGCCCTTTTACACCCCCGCCCACTCCACCATCCCCCATCCGTCCTACTAGAGGATAAGGGGGGAGCCTCACAGTGTGGGGATAAGGGGAGAGGATGGGGAGCCTCACGTGTGGTCCTGGCCGCAGGTGACGGACCGTACAGGCCGCTCCAGCGGCACCCTGTGCACAGTGGCGTTACTGCTGTAGTCCTCCCGCTCCAGAACCTGCCTCCCGCACTGGCCGTACGCGTTGTTGCCGAGCGTGTAGGCGGCGCCGTCGCTGGTCACGAACGCTGTGTGACTCCGGCCGCATGCCACCTGTAGGGCAGGGGCGTGAGGTGCCGTGAGGCGGCGGGCTCATGGAGGATGAAAATGGCTGTAAGAAGTCATGAAATAGTTGCAAAGCAAAAGGAAAGAAGATTTCCTATGGATGAAAATGGATAAATGCGTTTGATGCCATTGATAGAATCCAAATGCATCTATAGGTACTCTGAACATTCAAGAAGCAAATACTCTTCAGGTACGATTTGACATCGGTGAACGACATGAATACCCTGCACACTGGCATACTTACCGCTGTGACTTTGATGCTGGGGTCATCCACAGGTATTGTGATGGGCACTGGTGAGGTTACCCTCTCCAGAGGGTGGCCAGCACGTGCCTCCTGCTGGCCTGTCCAAAGAATGGTGGGGCGGGAGGTGAGGAGAAGTGACATCTCTGGGGAGGCTGCAGTAGTGTGACAGTCCTATCAATCAATCCTTGAAGGTTTTTAGTAGAGGTGCCATGTGGGCAAGCTGCCTGAAAGTTATGATGAGAGTTATGATGAACCCTACTCTGTCTCATGAGATACACAAATTGTGACCTCATCGGTCATAAAATGCTGGAAGTGACTGGAACATCAACAGTGAACTTTGCACACTGACACTCTACCTCGATTGCAGTCCAAGGAATCTCTGGAAGACCTCAGCTATCACTATTCAACTTATGAAGGCCAAGTGCATGACCCCAAACAGCAATGGGATAAAGTAAAGGTCACATGTTACCTATAACTCTGGTTGTCAATCCATTAATGACCTCTCACCTATCTGAGAACTTGTGTTGAGACCACAGCCAAACAGTTTGTAGTCAGGTCTGTTGACAGCCATCACAGTGAAGCCATACCCACAGGCCACATCTGTTACCTGAAACAGACATTGCATAGTCAGCATCACTCCTCTGAATCTACCTCCTGTCAGTGTCTCACAGTCACACAAAGGGATGGATTATGGAAACTGCAATGATGTATGTCTAATTACCAGAGGTCGAAGTGCCACAAAACTTATCATGATCACTTGCCTTGTTAAGCTCAGCGAACCAGAGCCTCATTGGGCGATGCAGATAGGTGTATGGCTTCTTCCCATTCTTAGGTCTCAGAAGATTCCTGTTTCCAAGAGCTCCCAGCTCAGCATAGCCCCATGTATAGACCCGGTTGTCTGGCCTAGTACCTTCCGATATGTACTTGTTTACTGAAAAGCAGCTGAAACATGTTAACAAAGTATTATAAACCTAATTTCTAGCTAACCTAATATGATTCTAAAATGATAAAACTTATATTATTTTGCATGGAACTGAGGCAACCACTGCTGAAGGAAACAACTGGGCCCGATGCCTCAACAGGCATATTGCCACATATTTATTAGGGGGTGGCTAGTAGTGGCAAACTCACTTAAAGATGGTGCTTCCTTAGTCCTCGTCCGTCCTTACTACACAAAGCTCCTGTCACTGTCAGCACAGATTGGTATCTAGCATGTAAAGAGTTAAAAATTAAAATGTGTTTGGCATCCATCTTAACTAGTTAACAGCATCTTTATCAGTTTGGGACTACAATCAGAAGCTCATCTGGGTGGTCAAAGTCCCCTTCCCATCAATCTAAGGGCCGCTATCAAAGCTAAGAGCTAAAATTGAAGCAAGGATACGAGAAACCTATGATTTATTAATGCAAAATCAATGTTATCTGCCATAATAATCCTTACCTGGAAGCCGATCTTCAATTTCTGGATTTACAGGATGTTTTCTTCTCGGTTTGCCGTCTATCCAATGTTTTACTCCTCTGGGGCAAGTCAACTGTTTTCTCGAGACAAGTGAAAGCAAGCAGGACCTCACTGAATTCATCATATAATCTTTCTAAATTATATTTTCTGGCAAAATACTTGAAAACTACAAAGTATATACTATATAGCAAAATAAATATAACTGGCGCCTCCAACCCTATCATCCACTGTGTTGTTTACAGTGTATTTCACTTCGCCATAAATTGAATTTACAGCGTCATTTATGTCTACCTTTCGAAAAAAGTGTCGGCTACTAATTGGTATTTAGCCTTCATGCTAGAAAATATTTCTCGACTTTTTGGAGCAATTTCCACTTCAGTAGCGGCGGAACACCTTCAATTAAGGGAGGGGGGGGGGGCACCGCCGACTTTTGGTCCCATTCTTTCCATGCAACGCCCATAGGGCTAATGTTAAAATGCCAAAATCAAAGGGGGCACGGTGCCCCGGTGCCCTCCCCGTTCCTCCGCCTATGCATAGGCGAGGAACGGGGAGTCCACTGATCCACTTTCAATCATAGGACAAGCAAGGCAGCATTCTAATTAAAGTTCGACATCTTCAATGCTTAGTCTAACAAATGCTACCTCACATATATCATAGCCAGAAAGGTTTTCAGACGAAGAACCGAATCATCAATCACTGTTTCGCGCCGTTCGACATTCGTGAGAATGACGTGCGCGATGCGGCCGTGATAGAGTTGCAAAATTTCCCTACCGCACTACCGGCATGCCGGTAAATTTTCACTACCGCAGATTTTTTCGTGGTATCTGGCATGTCTTGCCGGTAGCATGCCGGTATTTTTGATTTTGCACACAAAAAAATTATCAGCATATGATTCAAACTTTGGACACTAAGAGGCTATTGAATTGTTATAACAGCAACCTTAGCCACTGCAAAATACATTTTGTGGTAGAAGTTCCATTGCTAAGGGTAGGGGACAGGGGTAACACATGAGTCATGAACATTGAACCGAAACATGAATCTGTTTCGGTTTGCATTTCAGCATTTCACAGGTTTGGCTCTAATTAGAATTGTCAAGAATCTACTGTGGTGTATCAAAGGAAGACAAAGAATACTCATTCATGTTGCAAAAGCACAACCAATTAGTAAGTCTGATGGTAGGTAATGGGCATAATACAATAACTAAAATAAATAAATGTTGATGGCAACATTCAGGGGCGGCGGATTCCGGGGGGCAGGGTGGGCAGCTGCCCACCCTGAAAAATCTCAGGATGGGCAAAACTATCTTTTTGCCCACCCTGTTCTGGGTGGAGGCCCTTTGTTCAGAATAGAGGGCCGCAGGCCCTTTATTCCGCTTTTTTAGGACCAGCCATGCATGAAAGAGGCTAAAGGCTTCCGTGCAAAAATGTCACTTTCATGCAAAAGAAGGTTCCCTGAGGGTCTACAATGTTAAGACGAGGCTCTGTCGTGCCAGGAGGCCCTCCTAGTCCCTGCAAAGAGAGGCCCTTCCAGAAACGGAGGATGAACTATGTGTACGCAGGAGGTCCCCGTGCACATGGGAGGCCCTCCATGTACAGAGGAGGCGCGTAGTATACAGAGGAGGCCCTTCCGAGCACAGAGGAGGCCCCCTGAACGGATGAGGAACTAAACGTACGCAGGAGGCCCCCGTGCACATGTGAGGCCCTCTATCTAAAGCGGAAGCGTGTCGGATACAGAAGAGGCCCCCGTTCACATGGGAGGCCCTCCATGCACAGAGAAGGCTTCAAGGCGCGTAGTATATAGAGGAGGCCCTTCCGAGTACAGAGGAGGCCCCTGAACGGAGGAGAAACGAAACGTACGCAGGAGGCCCCCTTGCACATGGAATAATGGGTTATTAACCTGATCACCTCACTTGACGTTTTGTAGTTTCCACTAATTATTTCAGTCCTCCGCCCTCGGAGATCAGGTAGGTAACTGTTGTATTACAGCTTGTATTAAGCAAAATATAACTACAATTTTGAATTTTGTTTTCGTTGAGTTGACAGGCGGGAAATATATGCTTGTAGAGTAGATTATGCTAGTTGGGTGCATGGGCGTCGCCACCGGGGGAGCCAGCAGGGGCCGGGCATCCCCACTTTGCTTGAGTGTGTGTGTGTGTGTGTGGGGGGGGGGGGCTGGCCCTCCCAACTTTTTCGGGTTCTGATAATCAGAGCGACACCAATGAACTGACTATCCGAACAGAAGCCAAGTGCTTGCCTATTTCATGACGATTTTTTAAAGAAACGCATGGGGAAGGGACAACCTCACTTATACTTCAGTCTGCTAATGTTGTCTCCCCCCCCCCCTCCCAGGGCCTCGTCTAACATGTTAACTGGGGGGGGGGGGGGCCAAATCCTCGCAGTTACTGGCCTGCCCCCTCCCCCAGTCGGAGCAAAAATGCTACCACTGAGGGGCCGGCAAAAGCGAAAAGGCAAACGAACTTTTACTGCGAGTTGTCAGTGCACATAACAGCAAATACGTAAACGAAACATGGATGCAATGTGAGCGCATTGTTGATATAGGTGCCCGATTACCTGTGGCTGTTTTCACTTAATTATTTTGTTAACCCGAAACCATTTTTTTTTTCGCTCAGCAATACGTTACATTTCGTCTTTTCGGCGACCGAACTCCGTGTCCCGGATATTCTCCTTTACGTATCAATCTATTGTTTCCGTCCCCGGGGCGTCAAGCTGTTGTTTCTACCAATCGTCGTCCTCACTACGCGACGTCCAGCTTATGGCTGGACGGCTATCGGTGTGCGGCGAGAGTAGTTCCTAATCGTAATGAAGCAGGCTCCCATTCTGGGTGATCGTAAGCGCATCTTGGTGGTCTGTCTCTAGGGACGGGAACGTATAGTAACATTAACTGACATCTGGGTTATCTAAAGAAGTCGACGTGGGGTTTCGGAAGGCATGTCAGCCACTTACGGTCCCAACCGGCCTAAATTGCACTACTACACTGGTCCCTGATTGTCTCAGACTAAAGCCTCTGACGGCCCTAAGTTTGTGTCCACGGTAATTACGGAGAATTCACCTGAGAAGCCATCAGTCTCCAAGTTACCACACAGGCATTGTCCTGGTCTGAGGGGGCCCTACGTGGGAAAAATACGGTCTCCACTCATACTTGACCCTCAAAGCCTGGTATGGATCATCAGAGACCAGTCTGGGCCACCAGAGGCTGACATGGGTCCAGAAGCTGGCATTGGCCCTCAGAGCTCGGCACCGGACGCTCAGAAGTCGGCGGGGGCCCATCAGAAACCGATATGGTTCGCAAAAAATATGCGTGCGGGCCCTCGGCATCAGGGCAGGAGCCGCCCGCCAGCCGGCGAAGGCCCGCAGAGGTAGTCTGGGACACTCAATAATCTAGGTACTTGGGACCTCAGATACCAGTGTAGGGTCGTCGGAGAATGGCGCAGGGTCTTATCCCGGCAGTTGCTGGGGTATTTCCCCACCCACCGTTTGCTGGGGGGGGGGGGGGGGCGTTAAACGCCCCCAACCGATAACTCGAGAACCAATAGGCGCAGCGAAACGCACGAGGCGGCAAACGAAAGAGCGCGACGAGACGCTTCAGATGAGTACTTTAAAGTTGAATTTTGAGGTCACAGGTCGGGTCAAGGTCAGGTCAAACACCTGAAATCGGGCTTTCAGTAGCATGGACTTCAGGACTTCGCAATGGGCGCCTCTTGCCATAAACTCTGTCAAAACGGTGCACAATCCATCTTATAAGGTCTACAAGAGTGTCAGCTCCATGTAGAGGTCAGTCAAGCATAGGTCAGGGTCAAGGTCAGGTCAACCGGGTAGGCACATATCCCCGAAAATCAAAACTGATATTCGCAGCCTGTGACACACGTTTTATAGGTAATTGGGGGCGTAGAACACGATGGTGACATTCATTTAATCATATGTGTACGTTTTTGGCTCAAAAAGTTCAATTTAATAAATTCATGTATCATGGTCGTGAAGTAGTCACGAAAAATTGCCAAGATTCAGTTCAAGATTATGGAAAATGCGGAACGATAATCAATAATCGAAGATAGCCATTTGATTGATCATGGTATTGGCAGTCTAATGGCGTTTACGGAATGTCTGTATGTCTATTCTGTGATTTTATATGATTTTTTGAACATATGCCGTTTTTGGTCGAAAACTCAGAAATCATGACGTCACTAAAACCTCGATATCTCAAAAATTTTCCGACCGATTTTTTTGAAACTTTGTCACAATAAACTTCAATCAATTCCCTACAGGTACCTAAAATTTGGCGCGCCTGCGGCGCGCCGTTTTTATGCTATGGCCCGGCGAAAAAAGTGGGGGCGTTTAACGCCCCCCCCCCAGCAACTCGCGGGCTATAGGGTCCTTACTCCTTACAAACCGGCATAGGCTCTCAGAGGTCGGCGTGGTGCCCAAAAAGTCCACCGGCTCCCAAAGGCTGGCTGATGAGCCCTCAGCTATCAGTTGGCCAACAGACTACAGAGCCTGATTTGGAGCCGACAGAGATCATAGTGGGTTCCTCCGATTTTCAACTCCGATTCTCCGATTGATTGATTGATCCGATTGATTTTGAACTCCGAATTTAAACTCCGATTAACGGGAGGCTAAAATGGCAAAAAAGACCGACTTAAAAGAAAAGGTGTTGTGGGTTAAAAAAAAACTACGGTTTCTTTCTTTGTATTATTATTACTGTCTGGTGTGGCAATGTGAAGAAGTTACAATCTAATGTAAAAACATGGATCGGGTGGCCTATGTTCTTTTTTTTAGATAAAAAAGTTAATGGTGGCATGACTGTGATGAAAAATAAGTGGCCTAAATCTGGTGAGAAAACAGGATTTGGAGGTACCGTAAAGTGGGGCTATTTGAGACAGTGGGGCTATTTGAGACAGTACTGCAGTGGTTTAGTAAAATTGCTGTACCATGAAAACCGTTTGATATATTTGTATCATTTTTTCTCAGGCTGATGTGGAATTGAACGATGAATGCCATGGATAAGGTGTTTTGAAAATTTTGAAAAGTTTTGAAAGAAATTTGGCATTAAATGAGAAATACAGTCTAAAAACACAATTCAAGTTATACAGAAAGCACACTTATCTGCAGCTTAACATGGTTGAAGTTTTAAGAACTTTGCAACCGAATATATCGTAACTAACGTTATACTTATGGGCTAAGTACATTTTTCATGAAGACATCATGTATTGTTAAGGGTAGTGACGATTGTGTAACCCAATGTCTCAGAATCTTGATGATACCCAAATCGTCAAACTTCAACATATGCCAAATATGTACAGCTGATGGTTGTGATGTCAAGGCCCTAAAACAGGTGATATTATGATGCATCCGAAAAGACATTACCGCTATCTGATAAAAGTGCATCAAACGTTCGACATAATAAACACCTGTGAATCGGCCATGGGTTCATGGTACTTTAAAGCAGCAAGCAATATTAACACATTGTCACGTTATGACCATCCAGCTTGTGACGATATTAGTTACTCTTATGAATATGTGCATAAAATATGTTTCATCAGTCACTGACGTGGTCGGCAATCGATCCATGTCTACTATGGTTGACGAGAAGGCGCCATTAAAGGTTATTTGACATACATACGTACTGTTAGGTCAGCCTTCAGTGTACGTGCTTAATGCAGTGCGGTAACCGGCCCTTTGATACAACATGCAGTGATCGAGGAAAATCGGTATAAAATCAAAACCGTTTGACCTTTTTTCTGTCATTTCTTCACAGGTTGATGTGCAATGGAACAATCGATCATGCAGGCCATTCATTCAACCATTTTGGAAACTGTTCTCTCTTTTTTGATGCATTACGGTGTGTTTAATGCAGTAGCGAGCCTGTCTCAAATAGCCCCACCAACTTTCGACCTATATGTTTTACGCCGCCAGAGTTAAAGGAAATAGTTCACTTTTAACATGGGGTTTTGAGCTGGAATAGCAGTTTCGTAGCTTGAGCTGAGACTAGCACAAATCAGGAGCTTTTACGGCTCAACGATCACCCTAGACGAAGATATTCCATTTCTCGTTCCGAAAAGAGTGCCTTGTAGAGGAATGCGTGCCTTGCACAGGAATGCAGCCACGTCATCGTCAGCCAATCAGCGTGCTGCTTACAGCCAATGCAGTTTGCGTAGGTTTGAGCTACACAATATGATTGGTCAATGCGTAATAAGCTTCCGCGTCAAACATTATTTTACATATAATATAGTTCGTCCTATATTAAAATATAGAAAATAATTGTTTTTACAAAAAGGTTTTATTTTATTTCATGATTATTTTGAGCATAAAAAATCATAAATCAATAGCAAAATACTGATTTCAGGAAAGTGGACTGTTTCCTTTAAACATAACAACTTAATTTGAAAACTTTCACTGTCGTTGACTTGAAAATAGTCCTATATTATCATCCTTTGATTTTTAAAGCATAGGGTCACATCATATTATGACAGCCCAAGCATATATTAACGCAATTTTTTAGCAGACCGAAGTGCTATGTCCAACGAAAAACAAAAAATTTGATTATAAGGGTGATGTGACTGTATTTGAAAGAAATACTTTTTGCTAGCAGTATCAAAATCTAATTTCCAATCGCATAGCAGTAAAAGAATTATCCCTAGCTTGACCGATTTTCTTCAATTTCCTTGCAACTAAAACTGTCTCAAATATGGGGCTATTTTGAAACACTATGGGGCTATTTGAGACAGGTTTCAACTAAAAAAAAAATATATATTTATTTATTTATTGCTACTAGTTGAACCAAAATCAGCCTATCTGAAAGCAGTTGCAGAGAACTACGTTTTTGCAAGTTACATGCTATGAGAAATATCAACCGTTTTGAAGGGAGAGGCCAAAAACGGTAAAATCCGTTTCAAATAGCCCCACTTTACCGTACCCTAGGCTTGGCTCCTTGAGTCTCTGCCCCCCTCCCCCTCCACCACTCGAAAATCGGTGGCGACGTCACTGGTTAGATGATATACGTTTACCCCTCCGTCCATTCACTCACCAGATCTATAGGAGGCCCCTATACACCAAAGGCCCTTTTTCGCCAGGAGGCCCCCACGATATCTTGCCCACCCTCTCCGAAATGCAATCCGCCGGCACTGGCAACATTCCCTAGGCAAAAGGCAGAATCAAAACAACACAAAACACATTGTTTGGAAACTGGCCTTGAGTCCTGAGATGTGGTCTGAGATACTCTACAAAGAATTTGACATGAAAATCCAGCTGAAAAGGCAGGTGTTAGGTAGCCCTGAGCCTAACTTTGGTCCCAAAATGAAATGAAAATGAATTAAACTGGCATTTTGTCTTATCTTTACAAGAAAACACAACATGCAGACGAAATGAATACAAAGTGGCGCAATGTGGCGCAAAGGCAACCAAGGATTGACTTTTAAGATCCTCTGTCCCCTAAAGAAAGGATGTAAGCTGATGACGTAATATTTATTCATATGCCCTTTTGGTTGAATCACTCAAGAGAAATCAATTTTCTTGTAGTGAATAACACTCACAGTGTTGATTTCATTGGAATTCAATATCGTGTTTGATGATTTTTATCAATAAAATCATTCACGAGGCAGAAGTTTGCAGTCCTAAAACCTTTTTTTGCAGTTTTTTAATCAGCTGGTTAAAAACTGTGTTATGGCGCATCTGTTTCGAAAATAACGAAATCCTTGATAACCTTGTGTTTGTTCCCGCGTTTGGGATGGGGGAGGATATTATATCGTTTTTATACATATTATTTGGTGACTTCTCAGGACAAGTGAGTTATTAACACATATTTTTACATGCTTCGTAATTCGTATCTTACTCACGAGTCACGAGCCAGCAATCCATGGCGGATAGGATGGCCTTGGCGGATAGGAAAAAGCTGATGTTGATCTCGCTTCCTCAGTTAGGAACATGGCCGAATCTGTAGTTTTTTATATTGTGATTTGTGACTGTCTATAGTTCATTATTTGGTTGGTACCTGCAACAATTTAGGAAAATGTGGAAAATAAGAACGCTTGTGGTAAATGTGATTGCTGCTCACTGTGCAGTCTTCAGAAACACATTTCAGTAATTCAAGTTCTTTTTGTCCTTGCTTTTTTGATGAATGTGTTAATGCTTTTTGTAGGCAATACCTTTTTGATTACAGGTGATATTTTAACAGCTGTAGACTGGAATTGAGTTTCAAAATTGTGGTATTTGTGGGGCGAACTCAGCCAACATCAGGCTGCTGGTAGTTTTGGTTGGACAATGGGTGGCTGCTGGGTGGGGCGGTTACTGAAATTGCCAAAGTGTGGCATCTCATGATAGGGGTAAGCCAGAATCAAGAATGCAGGTTTTTTGGTATGCCGGTAATTTGGCGGTTTTTTTTGCTTGGGGCGTGGTAGCATGCCGGTATCCCAGAAAATTTTTGTGGGGCGGGGCGGTGCCGGTAGCAGCCCATTGGGAAAACTTTGCAACTCTAGGCCGTGAGCTCCGAGCAGGCCAGTGGTCACGTAAGAACTAGGGGTGAACAGGGAACACCGTGCGAACCTTTATTCATTCATACGAGATGCAGTTTTCAATGGCAACGTCCTCGTCATACATTGCTTTGCTATGCGTCAGTCCCCATCCCGTAGTCATTCTCAGCTATTGTCATTGGTCGTTTAGACATCAGTATGCATTACCGAGCAAGGTGGGGTGCGTGCCTGATTGTCTTCTTCCTGGAGACCTCACGAATAATTTTCATCAGCACAGGGTGTGTTTCATTTCCTTCAAAATAAGCAGAGAGGCAATCTACAATAACTTGAAGTAAAGTGACCAGTCTTGCGGCATCTTAGCAAATTCATGACCCATACCAAGATGTAGCTTCATTCCCAAAATTACCCTGTCATCTAGACAAACGGCTCGGTGCTGTGTGGCGTCCGGAATAGCGTGGCCGCCGGCACAGCCGATGGAGGTTGGTACGGACGCAATAAAGCATTAAACTCGTGATTTAACACACAATGAGACATAGTACTACCGGGATCTTCGGTCCGGATGCAAGGATAAAATGCGGAGCAGCGGTCAACTGAAACTTAGCGAGCTAACGTGAATTCATTTTCGCAAGGAAACTTCCACAATTAACCCTTTCTCCAATGTAGCGTCCGATTGTTCCCATGTTATTTATTTGGCATGTAGACAGGAATGGTAGAGTGGGCGACCAGCCTAGAACGCGCTGGGAGACATCAATGCCCTGGTGACGAGCGGAGCGCGACGGCAGCGACCCTAGCGGCGGAGAGGAGAAACAGGCACAGCAGAGTCCCCGCCCGGCCGGGGGACTCTTACATGGTTAGTGACGGCCGCGCGCGCAGCGGCGCCCGCCCAGAGTCGGCAGCGCTTGAACCTTGACATGACAGCTGATGGGATGATCGGCGCACCGAGTACAGCAGCTTTCACACAGCGTTACACTCATGACCAGATCATAAGCCTCGTGCACACAGCATACTCCAGCACACTCATGACCAGATCGTAAGCCCCGTGCACACAGCACACTCTATTACTCATGACCAGATCATAAGCCTCGTGCATACAGCACGCTCTCACACACATACCTCGATCACATACAGAATCACCTTTAGGGCGACTTCACACCATTCGTTTCGTCCCGCCAATATCGCAGGCGTCCCTACGTGGGACGCTCATCCCACTCTCACCGCGCTGCACAAGGCAGGTTTTCTCCAGTATCTCCAGCACAACTGTGGCTGAATCTGCGCAGCTGCAGCATTCACAGACCCGGAGTCCTTCTCCCCATTTCTGTCCGTGTCCCTCGGTCATCACACAGTCTGGCGAGATACCACCGAGCGCAGAGTCGACACCCCACGGGTCCAATCCCGCCCGCAGCGCCCCTCGGCGCCACACCACCACACTAGCAGCAGCATTCTTCACGGCTCATCCGCCGGATCAGTCCCCGGGCGTTTTACTGGGCGGCAGTGCCGAGCGCTGGTCCTCGATCCGTTCAGACTGCAGTCGCTGGATCAGCGAGAAAAAGTCCTCGTCGGGTACGGTGGGTGCCGGAGGAGGGTGCGGTACGCTCAGCTCGGGCAGCACCGAGCGTTGGTCGTCCAGTCGAGAGCCCTGTCAAGGGAGAGCGGGATGGGTGACTGTTAGTAGGGAAGAGGCAGTAATCTCGGGAGAGTGAGGGAAGAGAGGAAGGGGAAAGGGAGGGGAGAGCGGATGGAGTGGTGCAGCTTGCCTAATGCACACGAAGCCACTGATAGACGAAAGCCTGATCTAATGACATTCAGATGCACCAAAATGACATACGAGTATGTTAGGGTAAAATCAGGTGCAGGACCCATCCTTATTGGGCAATGTCGATTATCGAATATCCTGATAAGTTTCTCAGCCTGCCGCTTACACAACTTCACCGGGCCATCCCCTCTTCCCCATCCCTTCAGTCTATCTCACCTGGCAGCGGATCAGCATGTCGAAGAACTGGTCGTCGGGCAGTCCGTCGGCGTCCGAGGCCACACTCAGCCGCTGAATGAAGTCCTTACTGCCGCTGAAGCCCGGGAGGTCCAGGTCGCAGACGGGCAGGTCAGCGCGCTGCTCGTCCATTCGCCGCGACTGCATACCTGCAGGCAGCGGGCAGTAAGAGGGGTAAGACGACCGCGATGATGATGGCGAAACGTGACGATGAATGGTGACGGGAATGGGAGTAGGGTTGTGTCTGGCCGTGGCCAATGACCATAGCTGCCGCACAAAGCACTGAAATGTTACCAAGTCTACACCTTTTTCTGTTCCAAAAGAGCCTTCGGAGCAGCACATAGAACAGCCTGGGGACCAGACAGTAGACAGTTTCGCCATGAATGTCCCACTACAAATCATGTGGAGGCTCGACCGTGAATTTATTGCATTCGACGCGACGACATGTATCACAACCCGTTACCGCGGCGGTGATCACCGCTGTCACAACTGCCACAGCCCACCAAACGTCTCCTGTGACAGATGAGCGCAAATTTCGGCCCCGGGCGCCCGGCCCGCCCTCCCAGCGGGCCAGCCATTCTGCCGACATTCGCCGTCGAGTGCCGGACGGAACGAGCCGCCCGGCGATGACAGCACGTTGCCCGGTTATTGGAGACATTGTTGAGTCATTGTCCGCACGGCGACATGGGCCGTGACTGGCTGATGGGGGCTCAGCGGACAGGCGACACCGTCCCATATTCTGTTCAGTCGCCTGCCGAATGGCCGGTGGAGCCGTGTGATGGCCGAACGGGCTAACAAGTTTTGGTCGTAAATCGCAAGGGCAGCTGCAGCATACATAGCTGCGAAACTGGGTCATTCAAAATGTATCCAGCGAAAATTGGATATAGAAAACGGAAATCCTGAAATAGATTCGTGTAAATATGCTGCCTGCGAACCGATAAAGTTGTTTAAACAAATTCCATGCTCAGCTGCGCATGAATGCGATTGATTGGAATCAGGTCAGCGAATAGCGAACAAATCCACGACGGATATCAAGGCACTAAATTAAGACAAAACAGCATACATATTAACTGTCACCAGTTCAGCGTGGGTCAACTGGTCCGGCCCAACGACCGTCACATAAACAGCTCATTTGAGGCGGCCGCCGCCGGACAAAGCCGTCTGCCAGTGGTAGAGAGTCCACCGTCTCCAGCTCGGGGGCAGGCCGCTACCGACAAATCATCGCCACGACTACCACGATGTCGTCGGCCCGGGCAGGGTCAGGCTGGCAGACAGGCTCGGCCTGTCTAGGAGAGAGGGCACCGCTCTGGCACGCCTCCGGACCGGCCACTCTCCTGCCCTGCAAGCTTACCGTCACTTCATCGGGGCCGAGGAGGACGTCAGGGAGGACGCGGAACACTTCCTGACGTCGTGCCCCGCGACGGCCCGCGTCCGTCACGACGTTTTCGGGAGAGAGGACCCGACGCTGCGGGAGGTCTTCGCTGACCCATGCCGGGTTATCGAGTTCCTGCGGCGCCTGGGCCGACTATAGAGCGCCCACGGCGCTAGACACTCTGGCGGGGTGCTGGGTTCTCCGGCCCTACCCGGCGTCTGAGTCCGCCGGAACCCGCCCGGGGGCCTGCTGCCCTCCCTGCGCGGACGTCGCAGGTGTCGCCCCCGAGGGGGGCTGGGGCCCTCACGGGCCCCCCATGTGGGCCCACCGGGCCCGACGGCCGGAACGACAACAACAACAACAACAAATCATCGCATCCAGCCGAGTGGAAAACCGTCAGCCGGCGCTCCAAGGTCCTGCACTTCTACTGCACAAAGGGCTCGTTTCCGCCTGGTGCCGACACCGCTCCGGGCAAAAACGCCGTCAGCCGTGAGGCGGCGAGCCTGTCTGCAGTCGGATAAGGGCCGCTTTTTATTCTATTTCCTTAATTCTATCCTATTACCCTTCTCTTCGAATAATTTCACTTTCCACTCGATCCTTCTCGCTTTTGTTATCGAGATACGACGACAATAGAAATTCCGATCCAAGAAAACCTTCATAATCAGCACCTTCATAATCGGCGTCAGTGGCCGATTCAGTACAGAGTACCAGCGTCAGACGACAGACTGGTTCACCGTTCAGTAAGTGCAACAGCAGATCGACCTGTGTTCGTCTGCCTAATGCACGGCTGACTTCCAGCCACCAAATGGCTGGCGCTAAATTATTCACAAATCATGTCTGGGCCATGATTTACAGCGCAATGTCACTGTAAATCCGCGACTAGATTTACAGCACGACGTCGTCACAAAATATGGCCTTGCAATATTCGCTGTTGTGCTAGGCAACATTCACGGGCATAAGCTCCGCTGATGCAAATTTGGAAATCCTTGGGCAGAAAGAACCAAACCAAACCAGTAACTACAGTAGCTACCGATTAAGAATCCAGTCACGAAAGACAAAATCTATCCTGCTGTGCGGATCTTTCGGCGAGCGAGGAAAAAGCTCCTCGTGGAGTAGCGGACGGCCGTCGACACGTGTCAGGGGGTAAAGAACCACCAGCCACCAATTCTCCGTCTCCCAGCGGAGCTGCGCTCTTTACTCGGCCCAGCTGAGACCGTACGGCCGGCTGCTACTCATTGGAGGGCAGCACACGCCGCCGACGGCGAATTCAATTAGCGCAGCAGCTGGTGTGACGTCACAAGTCTGATGTGACGTCAGCGTCCCGGGAAGACCGCAGAACGACAGACAAAAACGGACAGTGCCGGCACGATAGCGGCCGGCCATCATTTTCTGCCTGCGCCGCCGAGGGAGTGACATCGGTGCAGATAATGTGTCCGGTAGGGTCCGCCGCCGACCGCCACTCCCAGGACAGAGCGAGGAAAAAGCGACCATTATTTGGCCGGTGTCAAGGTCAGTCATCGAGCAAAAAATGAAAACAAATAGTGCTGGTCACAATACGGTGCGAAACAATACCCGACCTTCGACAAGCCTTCGTTCCGGCGACGGGCATTACGGTTTAACGTGCCGACATTCCGTGGAATATTACTAACTTCCCTCCGCCTCAGCTATGTCCAACTACATGACAAAACAGTTCCAGTGAACGTTCTTCGGCTAGGCCTCCTCCCCGTCCCCACGACCCACTCAACCGTCCCCCACTGGCGTACCGTGAGTCATACCCGTGTCCCTTTCCCTATCCCCCACCCACCATACCCCATCGGCCATCCCATCCCCTACTCACCCTGTATGAGGTCGATGAGGTCGTCTTTGACGGGATCGGGCGTGGAGCCGCTGGACGATCCGCCGGCTCCTCCGACCGTCAGGGAACACCGCTGGTCGTCCATCCGCTTCGACTGGAAGCGCGTCAGCTGGTCCAGGAAGTCGTCACCGTCCATAAACGACTCGTCGTTGGAAGTCTGTCGGAGTGTGGGGAGAAAGATTGTTGAGATACACGGTTTGACTGTGAGTGCGTTGGTGTTGAGACTTGATGAAAATTGATGCCGATGGAGCAAGCATGTAAGGCGAAAAGTCTGCTTTCCAAGGATGCCTGACGTGCAGATACGCTGCATACTTACAATCACATGCATACGATTTACGATAGCAGCGTGCACATGATTCTAGTTTTAACATAAAAGGGCACAGAGCCCAGTTCCTAAAAACTTCATCCATTAAAAAAAAACGTCAAGCTTGAAGGTCATATGTCAGTGAACATAGAGCAGAATTCCACAGGGGCAATAAGCAACGTTAACACGCATGCTTGACTTGCATGTACCATGTGAGAAGATTTGCATCTTCTCTCCCACGCCAGCCGTCTTTCCGTCCTCGCTATCCGAGTCCTCCCACCTCGCCATCCAAGGCTGACGTGCTCCCTCCCTCGTCACCCCAGTCTCACCGAGACACCCTATCGTCACCTGGCCCTAATGTCTGCCCTGGCGGCGCGGCCAGGCCGTCCCCGTCTGCCACGGCAGGTCATTAGGTGCGCCAAATCAGCGCCGCGACAGCTCCCCATTATCGCTGCCAGCAGGCCGGACGGCCGCGGCGGCGGCGGCAGACGGCTGGGGTGACGGCGGCGGGCTATGGGGAGTCCTTTTACAGAGAGACGGTACCACAGGTCACCGTTGGTAACCAGTGGCAATGGGGTGCAGCAGCGGGCTGAGCTGGCCAAAACGCTGCCCATGATAAAAGACCGAGGTATAACCACAACAGCGGAGAGCGGCTCTCAGTCGATCCCTTTCATCCCTCTTTCCACTCTCTCCCTCTCTACCACTCTCCCCACCCTCGGTGCAGCTAACCATCAGATGAAACTTCATCAGTCCCGCGGTGGCCGACCTTCTAAAGTTCACCACTAATGCCTCCCATGACGGTTAGATGACTCTTTCAGCGAGTGAATTACCCCGATAGAGACCGGCCTCCCACTCTAGGGCGCCCTACCAGCCGTCCAGTCCTGCACGTCGGTCACCTATACAGACGAGACACGCCACTGACCTCCCGAGCACCCGAGTTTTATAAACATCTCACGTTGAAAACCTTTCATCGAGATCAGGATCCATGTCAAAGACCAGGATTATTTGTAATATACCGGGTGGCCCAGAAAAAACGTTCCGAACTTTGGAGGCCTATATATCAAATACGAGTACAAATAACGAGCCAAAATTTTCATCAAGTTTGCGTCATTTCTTTGTGCATTGGTATGCCAAATTAGAACACTATACCATCATTTTCAAGCTGGCAATCTTGAGTTGAATTAAGCAAGACGTTTTTGCTTTTTTTGCCGATGTCAAACGATAGTGATGATTGGGTTAGATGTCCCATGTTATAAAAAAAGAATAAAAAATAGAGCACGTGAATGAAACCAACACTTATTTTCTTATTTTAAATATTTTTGTCTCACTTATATGCCAAATATTCAAATACTGGGCCAAAATGGTGCTCATGGATGCCATTCGTTTAATTACCAAATCATGTTTCGAGCAGGAGTGGCACGGTGCATGGATTACTGCTGATTACCCTCCTTTCAGTAGATCAAACAGTAAATCGACCGGATGAGGAAAACAAACTAAAGCAGACTGGTTCCTGTGCCAGAAGACCACAGAATAGCTTATGAAAAACAACATTGCCAGCAGATGACAAAAACAAAACCTGGTTGAAAAGCTACCTTTTCCCAGGAATGTCAGCCAGGAAAGCATTTGAGCCACAACATGGTTAGAAAACTGGAAACTTCTTCCGATGCGGCTGGCACAGAGCCATCGTGGTTGCCTGAGGGAATGTGTCATCCTGAGACCCGAACCATCAATGAGACTAGCTGCCAGTAGAAGTCATGGCTCTAGGCCGCGGTGCCGCGGGGTGAAAGTGACCCGTTCACTCACATTTTTTAGTAAACATCGGAGCAAAAAAGTAATTTTTACATGGCATGATTGAAACATGAACCATTTAAAAAGTGATTTACCGAACACCATGAAATTCACACCATTTACTGAAAATGTGTGCCGCATTGACTATTCGAAGTTTCAATGTTGTATCTTTATCACTTTCTGAGATATATTGATTTAAAATTGGGAACGTTTTTTTCTGGGCCACCCCGTACATGACATCCCACGTGAAAGACCCATGCGCATCCCCAAAAGATCCCCCGAAACCCGGGCATCAGCTTGGCACTTGCTGAATGCTGGGACGTGGAATGACTAATGGCATCAGAACATGCGACTCAACGTCGTTCACTTCGAGCGGTGGGTATGGGTTTGGGTACAGTCGGTCTCTGTCCAGCCACCTTACGTTCTCTCGCCCCTCTCCCTTCATTCAACGTTCTCCCGTTTCTGCCTGCTTAAATTCCTTCAGCTTTCTACATTCACCCCTATTTATTCCCCGGCTCTCTTCGCTTACGTTCCCCGTCTCGCCATTAATCTGTCCACGTTATCTCTCACTTCTCCGTTTATGTTTCCCCGGATCTCCATTCACTCTGAATTTCTCCATCCCTTTCCGCTCATCTTCACGCTCCATAATGTCCACCTGTTCACCCCTGCCTACATCTGATGTAGGCAGTCAGAATCTAGCTCTGTCACTCACCTGGCTGACATTGAGAGGCGCCGGCTTCTCCGCGTCGCCCCGTACTTTGGCCTCAGGCGTCATCTATGCAACACAGCAGCGGTGCAGGCAGCGGCAGGCGGGGTGTGGTCACAGGCGGGGCAGCGGAGAGCAGGCGTGGGCCAGGCAAAATACACATAGAGCCGAGATGGAGATCATGGCAGGCAAGGGGGCAGGTAAAAATCTGTCGCAATAAATGCAGGCCAAGGCGTAACAGCGACACAGTGCAGCAAGCGAAAGCAGGCTACACTTCTTGGTAGGAGATGGAATAAGTACTGAGGTTATCGGCAGAAATCTCAGACAGGACTGCAGTGACGCTTTGGTGACGGCACCGAGGGAATGTAAGCCCGCCGTCATGGAAGAGCGGACAAAACCAATCAATAATTAAGGATGAGGGAGATGCAGATAGAACAAGGTTCGCTGGTATACTAAAGGGATAGGTACTGAGCAGCGCTAGAGATATTTCGACTGCCACTCACCGCACCGTCCACTTTTTCAGCAGAGGCAGCGCCACGGGAGCTCTGGTAGGATGGCGGAGGGATTGCCGGTCCGATCGTAGACAAGTGGAGAGGACGGAACTGCAGGATGGCTGGCCGGGCGGGCAGAGGTCGCAGAGAGGCTGGACAGTTGGGTAGAGGCCGGAGGAAGGCCGGGCAGTTGGGTAGAGGCCGGAGAGAGGCTGAGGGCAGGGTCTGGGACGTGCTGGGATAGTGTACAATAAATATACAACGGAAAAAGCCAAGCAGAGTGAATCGCTGACTAGATATACATCAAAACACAGCAAAGATGAAAACGGGTAACAAGAACTGTTTACTTTCAAAAATATAAAATCAAAACCTTTTATACAAACGGGAATATGGGAAGAAAAAAAGATCATTAAACGTCGCCAACACAATCGATCAAAATGATAGTCGATAAGGGAACAACACCAATAGCAAGCAAACATATCATGCAACAGACTATGGCACAGCTGTCCTCCGCCGAGCCACCGACCACCGGCGGTCACCGCAGCCACCGCAGTCACCCCTGACCTCAAACCCTCCGTACCTTGAGCAGGTCCATGTTGTCCATGCTCTGGCGACGCGGCCGCAGCGGCGCCGACAGTGTCGAGTCGGTCAGCTCGGGCCCGTCGCCGGCGTCGCGTCCCATGGCGCGCCGCAGGTCCGACAGGTTCATCCGCGCCGTCTCCAGGCCGGCCATGTCCTCGATCTGGGGGGAGGGGGGGGGGGGCAGGCTACAGGTCAGGGAGCGGTAGCTCACGGGAGGGCAGGTTACAGGTCAGCAAGTCTGAGAGGTTCATCCGCGCCGTCTCCAGGCCGGCCATGTCCTCGATCTGGGGGGAGGGGGGGGGGGCAGGCTACAGGTCAGGGAGCGGTAGCTCACGGGAGGGCAGGTTACAGGTCAACAAGTCCGAGAGGTTCACCCGCGCCGTCTCCAGGCCGGCCATGTCCTCGATCTGAGGAAAGGGAGCAGCAGGTCACTGGAGGTCACCAAAAGTCACGGAACGGCGGGTCACGGGACCTCATACAAGTTTGCGGAACTAACCAGCCTGACCTACCATAACGTAACCGGCAGGTCCAGGAAGCGACGATTAGTGAATACTCAAAGGTCACCGAACGTCTGGTGGTCCATTATAATGCAATACAACTGTTTGTTCAAGCCCATAGCAATTATGCACATAATATCGCCGTCAAAATGTACTCAATTATAGCGAGCAGAGCCAGCTGGGCCAAGTGACCCGAATTCCGGTTCCGACAAGGTCGCCACAGCCATCAGCAAAGCTTTCCGTCACTGACGGCCACCCAACGGCACCGCGGAGGACGCACAGACCCAGGACGGCCTTTGGCAAACAGCCACCGGGCACCGACAAGAATGAGGAAAACTGTCGTGTCAGCACCGGCATTAGGAAGCGTCCTTCCAGCCATTCTGCAAAACAAACAGCTGACAACCTGGTGACGAACAATGAGAGTATTAGGTGGACTGCGTTCTGTTGACCGCGGACATATGTACATACAGGGACAAGGTAAGTCCGAAAATGGGCCGCGGAATCCTGGCTGAAGGTAGGGAGCAAATAATGAGCACGAGGTGGATGCATGCGGTGATATGTGGCCTCGGGGCAACTGCCGACGAATACAGACGGATCTTACACAATAGTCGGTTACTGGGGGGTCTGTGCCTTGGCGGCTTTGGACTTCCAGACAGCTCGACCGTTACAGTAACTAGAGTCTCACCTTTACCAATTTTAAAGAATCATAATTCATGGCAACAAGTAGCACCTCCTGAGGGCTGGTTTTTGACCCTAGCACCCTCAGTGTGCTAAAAAATACACCCTCCAGCGCTAATTTTTTATCACCCTTCGGGTCTTAGATATGAGGTACTAATTAAAAAGCATCTTGTTAGCCCCATACAGGAGCCATGGTGCTACGATTTTTATGGGTGCTAAAAATAGCACCCTCTTAGCCTGCTTAAAATAAGCCGGTGGGTGGTGCTCGTTTTTTACCATGGTACAAAAGTGCATTTAGCTGCTTGGTGGTGCTAAACTTTTTTTACAGTGCGTGAGACACACCGATTGTCCGATATAAAACAGGTAATCATTGGCCAGGAGTATGTGAGCCAAGTAAAAATCGATCGAAATTCACGAGCCAGTGCAAATCACCGACAGTCTCCCTGGGGCGTTGGTCCCTCCGGACCTCCTCCCACTACCGCCACCCCCCCCCCCCCCCCTCCTCCACCAGACGCCGCCGCCTGCATCAGCACAACCTCCGGGGAGTAGGGGGGGGGGGGGCAGACGGAGCCAGGTCGGTCAAGGTCGGCCCAGAGCCCTTCCCAGCCGACTGACCGCCGGTCCTGGCCAAACGCACGACGGGACCGGTCAGCACGACTGACGGCAGGCAGACAGCCCGCGACGGCAGGGGTGTCAGGCTATGAAATACACATCGGCGACCTTATGAACGACTGTTCTAATGCATCAAGCCGCCACTTTGCTGACGGCAAAATATTACCCCATGGATCATATGTAACAAGTCTGTTATCTACGCCACAGGTTAGCCATGCTCTCATCTTTGCGGCAAAGTAGCATGAACATTGTGCATAAAACGCTATTTCTGTCACAGCATGCAGCAACATGACAGACAAATATTGCAGCCCGCATCCCCGTGCTAGTTGCCGCCAACCAACAAGACCGGCCCCCGTCAATCAATTCGAATCGCCTTTCTTCGATTTGTCCTTACAGGGCCTTGACATAACCGTATACGGCCATCGTGCCTGCGACATACGCACTGTCGCATCCAATATGCCACAATGCGTCCCTTAGGTTGTCCGACGTGCATCATGGAGCCGTTCTTCGCGTCTTTAGCCTGTCTCCCTCTCTCTCCCTCCATCCCCCTCCATCCCTCCTGCACTCCGGTGCAGAGCGGAAGAGCCGGAAAGTGGCGCACTGGGCCGCGCCGGCCGGCTCCCTCCGTACGCGGAACCGCCGCCAAAGCCGCCTCCGGCTGTGACGAAGGTCGCCGGCTGATCGGTCACATGTGTCCCGCCAGAGAGCGGCACTGCCCCCGGGGAGAGGGGGGAGAGGAGGAAAGGAGGGGGAATGGCACTGGCGCTGGCCAGACGCTGAATAAAAGTCAGGAGGGAGGCGTCCCGATGGGATGACACTGGCGCTCGCCAGACGCTGAATAGAAGTCAGAAAGTCGCTCGGTGTACCCACGCAAATGGCTGCTGAGTGCTGAGAGATTCTGCCACGCTTCAGGAGCACGATGTTGTGACTGCAGGTCGGGTGTTTCTCAAAACAACCCAGCGGTACTACGGGCACTTAGCCGATTGTTTACCTGACCGGTAAGAAACTTATATAATATGCATGTCCCTGCTCCTACACGGCTGGTTATCGTCCACCTTTATCTTCTTAACTTTCTGAGCACATAAAGGCACCTTGATCATTTCGCGGTCCCCCTAAATCTGTCTAAATCCACCAAGCTCCCGAAACTCCTCCGGCGAGCTCTATCTCTGCGGATCATCAGAATTTCCCCGCGCCACTGCCGAGCCAGTGCAGTGCTGTCTTCCAGCGACCCCCGGGATTTCTCTGGGACCGCGGCACTGCGGCGCCAGGTCGATCTTGTCGGCAGTGACCTGTTCAGGAGTCGAGGGACGACGCAGCACGCGCTGCACTGGACCGCCAACCGGGCGGCCGCACCAAACTCATTTAGCTCTGAGGGCGGTGACAGCCGGCGGCCGGCTGGCAGACAGATGGTGGTCTGAGGTTGCTGCGGCGGAGGCGGCTGCAGCGGGGTGCCGCGGCAGGGCACAGATCGATCCCCAGCCGCGAGAGAGCGCCTACCTTGGCCCTTTGAGGAGCCCTGAGAGCCACTTCCGTACTGGGAAAGCAGCCCGAGAGACGTCTGTGTGTGACGGACGCTGACGTGGGTGAGAGCCACCGGCAAAAAGTTATCTCGCCGGTTTAGCCTATCAGCGGCCGGGCACGATCAGCCAAAACGTATCGCGCGATTTGGTGTATCAGCAGCGAGCGCCGCAACATCAGCAGTGCTATTCACACGGCAATACTATAAGTCGGATAGCCTGAACGCCTTGAATGAGTCTTCAACAAGAAAATATGTTCGATATTTCGGTTGATGAAGATCATAAGATACGCTAGCTTCTATGGCTTTAACTTCATCCTTCTGAACAGAATGCAGTCAACAGTTTTGCAAATATTTTCTCCAGTTTAGCCAACTCTACTATACGCAAATGAATGCATGGCCATACATATGCAAAGTTTCCGGGAAGACTGAGTCCAACGCTCCTCGATACGGTTATTGGCTCTAACTTTCGACCATCCTAAGTTTGGCGATGGATGCGGACAGAGGCCACTAATTCAATCAACAGAATTGAAGCGGAAGGAGGACACGATGATCTACAGCCACAACACGTTACTCCAGTGCGGACAGTCCGCTGTGAGCAATTCAAGATGAAGTCCATCTTTCCACCGGCTTCAGACTCTCATAAATACACTGCCGACAGTCTCAGCGACGCGCATTAAATATCGTTCACTCACTGAATCATCTTCAGAGCTGTCAGCCCCCATTCGGTCCATTCAATTCACTGACGGCCTTCTGGATAGGATTCTAAAGCGCGAGCCACGGACGCAAGTAATCGGCGGAGCAGATTGCGGCAGGCAGTGGGCGGTGGACGATTGACTGCTGGCGGTGGAAGGCGGGCGGTGGACGGTGGACGGCAGGCGGTGGACGACGGTCAGTGGGCGGTGGACGGTGTAAGACGGGAGGTGGACGATTGACTGCTGGCGGTGGAAGGCGGGCGGTGGACGGTGGACGACGGTCAGTGGGCGGTGGACGGTAGGCGGTGGAAGACGAGCGGTGGACTTGACTGCAAGCGGTAGACAGTAGGCGGCAGGCGGCGGGCGGCGGGCGGCGGCGGTGGCACCGGCGCGACACCATCATTAGTTATGCAGACGGGGACAGGAGCGAGGCAGGTCGTCGGTTGCGGCTACGTTCATTACCACAGAAAGTCACTGTCGCTATGGTCGGGAAGGAGGAGGGAGGGGTGATATAACGGGGGCGGCGACACATAGCGACCGACGCAGATGACTAGGGGTCTAAGGAAGCTAGAAGGTCGAGATTGAGGCTTACAGTCGTCGAGAAAAACCGACGAGGGATGAAAAACAGGCAGGTGAGGGCGAGGGAAAGACAAGCGGTAGAGGTGTGGGAGGGAAAACACACCAACACATCCTACGGCTAAAAACGCGAGTTGTCGCCAGCTGTCGAGTTGTCGCCCGTCTCGACAATATCCCAAGTTCCACTGACCTGCTGACTGATCTGCAGGTGCCGCTGGGCGTAGTAGAGCGCCTTCTCGTTGTTGCCCATGGCCGTGTGGGCATTGCCGAGACTCCAGCACGCCCGGCCTGTGGGTGAAGTTGACAGTCATCAGACAGACGGACAGTACATACAGACAAACACACAGCAGGCAGACCGACTCAGGAGGCACACATTCAGTCATGCACCTCCTAATTACCTGTTAGCTCATTCACATAAACGTGTACATTATCACTCAGCTGAGAAAGCTTACATTCAAATTGTCAATTTAAGACAGTGCGGCTGGTAGCGAGACGTCGGTTGCCGATGGACATAAAGAAGTCTCATTTTCTAGGAATCTTCTCAATCTCCCGGCCAATGCGCTCGGATTACGTGGAACGCCAATAACCGGCTACCGACTGGGAATTATGATGGTCGGCTCAGAGCGGCTCTGAACCGCTAGCCATTGACATTTATAACGAGTACCACGAATTGGCCACCTTAAATCTCCCTCTCAACGCGGGCTCAATGTCCTCAAACACACTTGATGCCCGCCTAGCGACAGTAGCACGAAGATTTTCTACAGTCGCTTGGAAACGGACCAACAAGTGTGGTTTTATTACAAAACTGAGCGTCGGCATTTTAACTTATAGCCTCTAATCTTACATGAATGTCTGTCCCAATTACCTCATCTTTCCAACGGTCTCACACTCTGCTATCCTCACAAATCTCTCTCTCTCTCTCTCTCTCTCTCTCTCTCTCTCTCTCTCTCTCTCTCTCTCTCTCTCTCTCTCTCTCTCTCTCTCTCCCCACTCTCTCACCCTCTCCGACGGTGTCGTTGAGCTCCTGTGCGATCCGCATGTGTCTCATGTGATACTCGACCGACGCGGGCAGGTCGCGCAGTAATGTGTACGTGTTTCCCAGGCTGTAACACGCCTGGGCCTCCATCGCTCGGTCGCCGAGCTCCTGCGCCAGCACCAGTGTCCGTCTGTGGAGGAGGTCAGCATGATATCAGATTGGAGGGAGGGAGGAGGGAAGGAAACTGAAACGTTCAAAATGAACAAACAAAAAACAATTAAGAAAAATCACAGCAAACGAGCGAAAACGCAGGAATGACCAACACGAAAATTAAAGGATCACTCAACTCCATTTTAATAACATAGCAATGCATAAACCAATATTTCTCAATTCACCTGCTCACAGCAGTTAAATTGAAAAGTAAGCCGTAGCACACATAGTTCACGTTCCCACAGTGCCGAACGGGCCACATTCCGGTCACGGACTTAATCACCGTGCCGCCGCGCAGTCTGGCCGGCCGGCGACGATTGATGGTTCGGCCGCCTTCCCTCGTGACAATACCACCGACACCGGCCGTAACAAACGACAGCGGCACGGCGCGGCGCGGTCCGCCTAATCAGTGCCACGGCAGGGCAGCAGCGGAGGGCAACGTCGCTCATTAGCGTCCGCAACAGTCTATATACGACCGCAGACGTGTTAGCCGGTTCAGCGGATCGATAATGCCCCGCAGCCCACACATGACCGACCGGACCGTGTTAGCCGAGCTCGGAGGTCGATATTTGCCCTTTAACGCCCGCCCGCAACAGCACACATTCGACTGGCGTGTTAGCCCTTAATGGTGCCCTGTAGACGGCAGCGACCGTACCATACAAAGCCGATACCGATACCATTATGAAGCATCACCAATTAAATGGGTTTTATGATCACCGTAGGAATTATGGCACGAGCCTTCGGAGGGCTTTTGAATATGACACATTAATATCGAACGTTAATATCGATGGCTTAATTACGTTGAGCCCGTCTGGCAACTCAACATTTCCAAGTAAAATGATTCAATCTCCACTTCAATCATCAGCAACACGCTCGTCGCTCACCCTCTACTTCACATCTCTTTCGTGGTCATCCCTTGCCCTTCCGCTTCCACAGGCCGCCCAATTTTAAAACCAACCGTTCCCTACCGGCTACGCTTAGTCTCAGTCCTCAGTCCCTCCCCTCACACACCATTCTGTTTTGTCTGTTTGTCCACTACCCTATCCTCTCACTTACTTGTAGTGCTCGGCGGCCGTCTCAAACTGTCCCAGGAAGACGTGCGCATTGCCCAGGTTACTGTGAGCGCGCCTTTCCGCCGCCTTGTCGCCAAACTCCTTGGCGATTTTCAGCCGCTGCCAAAGCAGAAAGGAAGGGTGGCGTCAATACGCACAGTGACGTCAGGTGGTAGATGTGACGTCATGGCAGCCGTCATTGAAAGGATATGTTATGCAACATACCAGCTGTGCCGTATCAATGGTACGCAATAAGACATATCCGTCAAAAAATGTCATTCATCCCATTCACTGTATTCCGTTACCTGGCAAGACGCCTTGCAAAAATCAAGAGACATGACGCCAGCGCATACATGCCTCGGCAGTGACCGATGCCGAACAGTGCCCTGATGACGTCACTGCTCTACATGACGTCACAGCTCCATCACCTCACCTACTCGTAGCTGATAACTGAGTGGTGGCTTCTGAAGGTAGTTTTGTCTCACCTGCTGGTGGTAGCTGATGGCCTGTGTGAAGTTGCCCAGCAGATAGTGTGTGTTGCCGAGGTTCCCGCAGGCGCGACCCTGCGCGGACCTGTCACCCAGCTCCACCATAAGCTGTAGGTTCTCACTGGAAGGGGCCGAGGGAAGGCGTCAGACGAGGCACACTAATCAGTACACCGTATCACAGCGTACAGCGTACGGCGCCAATCAGGGTTTGTGAGCGCCACACCACAGTCGGGAGAGAAATGAATGGCGGGCGGCCGCTCAGTATCCGGCAGACGAAAAGACGCACTGGAGCGAACACATCAGGTGACGCCACTGCGCCAGCCTTGGTTCATGTGACAGACGGTCCTGGGAGGTAGTTAGTGGCAGACGCACCGTTGGGTTCTCGATAATAAATGTCGCGCCGCGTCGCTCTTTGGCTCATGTGACTGACGAGTGACGATTCATGATAATTAGTGTCGCGTCGCACCACCTACCCATGTGGCTCATGATCTCCAAGAGAAAGAAGTGCCGCCGCCCGTTCCAAATATCCCCACTCCTCCCCTCCCCTGCCCCATCCACCCACACAGCCGTGAACGATGGCAAAACAGTCCGGTGGTGGCGTCCATGAATCGAGGCTTTGAACAGCAGTTCCCAACAGAGCTATGAATACGCTGTCGTTTTGACATTCCTTTCCCACGGAATCAAATATCTCAATAAAATGGGACAAGAAATATGCTACAAAAGCAGGTCACAGACAATGGCCAATAAAATAAAATGACAAACACGATTTCATTTTACAATAATCTTCCACGCCATATTTCAGGAAAACTTGGCAGCTCTCCAAGACAACTGGAGACGGATCCCAAAGCTGTTTCTTCTCTGAAACCTTCATAACCACAGCGGGGTTCATGATATCAGCGCCCCGAAGTCACATTTTGCCCGTATTTTCGCTCGGTTTATACCGGCACCATCCCCATTCCGAGCGCTGTCCATTCCCATAATCCCCACTCCATTTCCGAGATCCGCCGTCTAGCCGGCAGCTTCACTGCGGCGACACTCTGCCTGGACCAAACCGGAATGGGTTCAGGATGAACAACGGCAGGAATAGCTGCCGCCTGCGACAATGGACAGAGACCCCGAATACATGAGCAAGCAAATACGTATCAGAACAGATTTTCCCATCCGCTCAGTATTGTAATCCGTTTATAAAGATGATGTGGGGTTGTAAGGCGCACGGACTGTGGTGGTCATCGCCGCTCATTAACACGCTTGTAACACACATTTATCCTGTTCATGCATCCCAGTAGGAAAGCGGGCGGATAGGAGGAGCGATGGCTCTTCGCCGGCAGAGCAGGGTTTGCAGGGTCACGCACACAGCAGCGCCTAGAGTGGGAGATCGGAACGCAATCAAGACGGCCGGCCGGTGGCCGATACGTGAGCCAGAGGAGAGGGGAGAGAAAGAGAGGAGCTTCGTTCTCAAATGCTGGTCACGTTTCAATAGCTAGGAGAGAGGAAGTGTATGCGAGAGCCGAAGAGCGTGAGTGAAAGAGGGCGAGACGAAAGAGACTAAGAGTAAGAGTGGGTGAGAGCGAGAGAGAGAGAGAGAGAGAGAGAGAGAGAGAGAGAGAGAGAGAGAGAGAGAGAGAGAGAGAGAGAGAGAGAGAGCGAGAGCGAGAGCGAGAGCGAGAGCGAGAGCGAGAGAGGAGAGAGAGAGAGAGAGAGAGAGAGAGAGAGAGAGAGAGAGAGAGAGAGAGAGAGAGAGAGAGAGAGAGAGAGAGAGAGAGAGAGAGAGAAAGAGCTACAAAAGGCCAGTCACGTTTCAATATCTGTGAAGTGGGACAATTCGGCGCTCGGAGAAGCCACTAACAACTGAGCTGTTTTCCGAGCGTCGCAGAATGCTGACAAGCTAATAACGAAAGAAAATTCCAGATAGAACGCGACTCCACTGTAAAATAAGTCCACCATCCCCCAGTCACAGAACAGGACAGGGAACAGACGAGAGCGGTCCTTACTTGTAGTACTCGACGGCCTTCTGGAGACACTCTTTGACGGCGTCGGGGAAGTGCCCGGGGTCCTGGTTGCCTGAACGGCCCAGGTGTTTGCCCTTGGAGTGGTAGACGTTTGCCAAGTTGTAGAGTGCCCGGCCTTCGCCCACCTGATGACAGACAGCGGGGAATGGAGGGAGTTAGAGGGCTCCACCAGCACGCAGACACAGCAAACACAATGAGGAGAGCTCCATAGCCACCCGGTACTTACCCGAGTAGGAGCAGGCGCTCCCCCAAGAGCAACGGCGGTTATTGTGCTTACTCCTCCTGGAGTTCCGTGAGCCCCATTCTGATAAATTAACGATCACTGAGCGTCATTGGGTTTGCGAGATAATCCGTACTGACCTTCCGGCTCTCCGCCCGCACACTCCCACCTTCCCTGACCGAGTGAAGCCTTCGCCGGACAATGCGATTACCCCGGTCACCGGGTGCAAATCCGGGCACTCTAATTCCGTGACCAGTGACCGTTTGAGTTCGGTCATTTCGGTACGTGTGTGCCGCGAGCTGAGACGGCACCGGGCAGAATTAGCCCGGGGGCGGTGTCTCCAGAGGATTAATCCACGCTCGGCACAAAGGCACAGTCAGCGGAACCTTTGGTGTAGTCCGACTCTCAGTGAATCCCGTCTAAGACGACCTAGGATTTATCTTCATTGTCTCCACAACTGGCTAGCGGCACAACTATCCACCATCCAGTTGTGTCTCCACAACTGGCTAGTGGCACAACTAACCAGTAACCAGTATCCACCTCAGTTGTCTATCCTAAAATTACATTAGCGTGTCTCCGAACTAAGCGCTACAAATGTGTTTATTTTGAATGTTATGAGACATATCCTAACGTGCCTGATTTCACAGCTGTTGTATCACACACCTTTCTGATCTCCTTCGCCCACTAAATCTCCTTTCACGTACTATACGAGCTTGTCTCCAAGCTCACAGAAGCATGTCTCACCTTTCTCTAATTGCTTTCGAACGAATGACCCACCTTGTCTCCTAGCTCCCGTACGCATCCCCCGCTATCTTCTCTCCCACACACTTGTCTCACCTTATACCCCTGCCCCGCACACATATCTCTCCCTAACCTCTTGCACAAGTGTCTCACCTTGTCTCCGATATCCCAGGCGCATATCTCACCTTGTCTCCGAGCTCCCGGGAGACGCTGAGGTGGCGTTTGCAGCAGAGCAGACTCTCGTCGTACCGTCCCAGCACCTTCATGGTGTTGCCGAGGTTGCCGCTCGCCTTGGCCTCACCCATCTTATCCTGCATCGTCCTGCGAGCGAAGAGATGTGGGGGACAGGTGAGGACGGGCTGACAGTCGGATGGGTTACAGGCAAAACAAAGCAAAACATTGACAGTGATGAGTTGGGTTTTAGGGCGCAAAGGACACTGGGCATCGGCGCCAAAGAATGCTGACTTTTGTACACTTTATCCGCCATCCATACCCAATTACCAGTTCCACGTCACGTAGGATAAACGCAGACTCCAGAACTAATGCGCTTATGATACAATTGCCAGCACGTCACATACACACGTTCATCGATTCCGGCTAATGCTCTCGGGAGTCGTCCATACCGACATGAGGGCCGGCCCGAGAGCACGACGACGACCAATGCTTCTGGCTTCCCCATACCAACACAGGGAGCCGTCAGGGACAGGCATCTACTACGGATAATAACAATCAGCCTCAGCCTCGTCCAAAGGATCGCCCCATCCTCTGACGACCAGCACCTCCTAACCGCCTGTTGAGCGGCGCCCCGGCCGGCCGGGGCGGACGGGGAAACGGACGGGTGGGCGGCGCTGAACCGCGCCCCCCTTGGGAAACATTCCATCATCAGTGCTCCGGCTGGCTCCAGTTTCACGGGCCATTTGCCTAATGTGGCGCTGCCGAGCGGCGGGCTCCTGCTCTCCGGCGAAGCGGGGCGGCGAGCCAGGCACCTGTGACCCGCTGACAGATTACCCGGGTGGCTGAGACTCCCACTGGCTGTCGGGCAGACTTACGGCACAACCGCGGCTCACTTGAGACCGCCGGCCTGTCTCCCGACACCAAGGCTATCAGCGCCGGTTGCCTTCAGATACAGATGCAGCCGATCCACCCCAGATCACTGATACAGTGGTACAGTCAGCCGGTCGGTAAAATCCAGACCACGGGCCCACAGACAGCTCACCCTGACCACTGGTAGGCAATCGGTCCACCCAATGCCAGCAACGGTCAGTTGGTCCAAACCAGACCCGCCATGTCCACAATCAGCCGTCCATTCAGTCCAAGAGAGATCACCAGCTCGCCAACCAGGGCACGAAGCGAGACTGACAGACGAATTCACGGCAGCGAACATCGACCACAATCAGTGAAGCGCAGATTCTTGACATCATCTAGCTGCAAAGCAGACCGCTGATTCTCAGACCTCTTCTTGGAGCCTGGGAGCTCAGTGGACCCTACGATAGGCTGATAAGATTGAAAGGTAGTACCGTGTACGGATCAATTTCCAAGTACAATCAAAGTCACAAGTTAGAAGTACTCACAAGGTAACAGAAGTGATGTCTGTATGGGATTGTAAGAACAAGAACAAATCCAGCCATCAGAGCCAGCATAAAGCTCTGCAAAAGAAAGTTCTAGCCATCTCGTTACGTAAGCAAAAACGATTTCTATGTTTTGGAAGCTGTTATACGTGACAGGAAAAGCTCACAAAAGGGTTTTGTTGTCAAGCATGAAATGAGCAAGGAAGGAAACGATCAGTTAAATTTGATCAGTCTTCTTCGGAAGATAAGGAAGAGTTCTTTACCGGCGTCACTTGCATCAGCAGCCCGCAGAACCCACTAATGGGCGTAAGCGCTGATATGAGAGGTATTGAATTTCCTCGACCTGAATTCGCATCCACATCAAAGGATTTTGAGCGTAGGTGTAATGTGCACACCACAGCACCATTCTCGTCTCGTTAGCTTACACACGACCTTTCCTTACTTGGTACACAAACGGTTGTCCAACAAGATTTAGTCATCCCCAGTAAGCCAGAGCGATGTCCACTTTTGGGACACCGGATCGGTTTGTTGAAGAGAGGCCGAGAGGGCCAGTGATAACTAGTCCGTCAAAACGCTGCAGAAGCACTCGTCAGTAGGCGGGTTCCGAGAGACGTCAACAGTTATCAGCGGTACAGAGCTTAGTTAGGTAGCGGATCAAACGGCGCGGCACCATACGGCCGCTGCCCAATGCAATGAGGAGAGCCAATAGACCTTTGTCCATATACGTGTAAGTAGTGATTATGGAAGAGCCCAAGGCTCCCTTTCAGCTTCACCGGCTGTGGAAGACTGTTTACTGTCTAGACGGGGGATTCTGTCCACCACAGCTCCTCTCTCAGTGAGGACACACGGAATGGCGGGAGACGCGGCACCGGGCGACAATGACGGCGCTGAGCGGCCATTCCGACGCGCTGATCACCGCCGGCGTCTCCGTAACAAGCGCCGGTTAGCTGGGGGACTGCGCAGTATGACCCCCGAGGGACCTTGGCGAGCCAACACTGACGAGCCGCCCCCAACTCCCGCCTACAGGACTTACTGTGCGAGGCCGAGCAGGAAGGCAACTGTTTCTGTGTCTTCTATTTCTTACAAATTGGCTTGACCGTGTCCACGGTCGCCTGGATAGGGGTCTAACAAAGCGGAACAGCGAGGGACCCGCGCTCACTATGCCGTGTTCCCCAGTTATAAAATGAAAGCAGCTCGGCTGAATAGATGAAAGTGGTATGCTGAAAAGCGACAGCGACTCTCAAATTAGTTGAAACGTAGCTGCGACAAAACTGCGCTGCTACTGAGTGGTAATTATAGTAGCAGTACATTTCAGGCGGATATCAATAGACATCGTACGTTCATGTGACAAGGTACGATCATGCCGATCATAATTTTCTACATCCGTACATCATCAGCTACTCAGTACTACTACAAGTGCTCACTGGACGCAGGATATGACCCATTTCATTATTAGCTTAATCTGGCTCGATTACGACATCGATTTCATTAGATAAATTATATCGGTCGATACATAACGAGCTATAACTGTCAAATTGCTTTCCAGTCTGGTACGGCTGGCGGCACATAACCATAAGGCTGCAACAGCCCCGAATTGCAGTCACTAACGTTACGATGAACACGACCGTGAGCGTAGGCACTTGGCAATTCACATCACATAACACTCTCGTCTAGCCACTGCAAGCTGATTTTTCATCGTAGGATAGTATTTATCAGTAAGATAAAGAGGATTCTTCAGGGCTCCGAGTGGAAGATAACATCTATTCCGAACGGTTTTCTGAAACGAAGCACTTATCTTATCACTCATCTCACTTATGTCAAATACTTATCTCTGGTAGAAAGATAAGTGATTCTTTTCAGAGGGACAGATAATATTCTTTTCATGAATTCTGGGATGTATCGCAAGAATGAACCTTCTCACGTATTCTGCACCACAGATGAATATCAATCAGGTATTGATTGAGTCGAAACTGCTGAACCAATCACACCGACATAGAAACCTACCTCCATAAATGGCAGATGACAATCATGACAACGCCTTACTAGCTCAAAACATCTGGTTCCATGAAATAACTGAATCGCTGAATTCCTATGACTTATGACCACGCATCATCTTGAAGATACTGGTTAATTATTGAAACCGTCGGAACCAGTGTACCAAAATCATATTTTTGCTTGGGTGTCAGAGGGGAAAATTGCTGACCAAAAAAAAGGATGAGAGTGAAAAATTGTCGGTCAGGTAAGGCCCAAAAAGAGTGGGAAAATGATCAAAAACATTAATCTATCTACAATTGTGACATATGTAAAACAACCATTCCCGCAATTGCTCCTTCTCGGTGGAATTGGAAGTGGAAAATTGGGCTTGAAAACTGGAGGTGAGAGTGGAAAATGATTTGCATTTCGATGTCGTTTCCCACCCACATCTACAAATTTTGGGACACTGGTCGGAACTGAATTCGCTCATGCCAGTAAGGGGATAGACCGCTCCTCTCTTTAGCGACACTCGATGAACAAGTGATGGGGATTGGGCTAATGCGAGGCTGCCACACAAATGCACGCATTAGCCCTGCCAAACTGAAACGTAGGCTAAGCAGCCGAGCGTCGACCGGGTGGGGGGGGGGGGGGGCGACATGGATGCAAAAAAAAAACAAGACACGCATTCAAAGCGCAAGGCGGAGAAGATAAAAGGCATAGAGGATCAAGGCTTCGAATTTGCGATGCAGCGGAAATTTACATAGAAAAGGAAATCCGTGCAACATATTTGTAGGAAACACACACAGTGGGATTTCACACCACACGACGCATTTGTTTGCATATACCCTTTAGTGTTTAATAGTGTTTTACTTTCGTTTGTTCATCTTTCTCTACAGTAGCCCTTTACATTCGACTGACCCCACTGTTTGCTACTGTGGTACACATTACATTAGCCTAAGTTCGTACGGCTAGGTTCATGCTTTCACGTCGCTCCCTGCATACTCCCTTCTCAGAATCCTCACGTTGCATTGATTTGGGTTCAACTTTCATCGTTCTTGGAATGTGTAGTGCGCTCAGTTTCGCGTACCGTATATGTTGAGAACATTCGAGGAAAATACAAGGTGATGATGGCGGCACACGACAGTAAGAAAACAAGAGAAACGCAGAAATATAGTTTAGGATTATTGTCCAATCATAAAACTTCCGCATCCCAGGGGGAAATCAAACGGGGGAAGGGCTCCGCGAGTTCGAAATCAAACCAAAATTCTTTATCATTTGTGGCTTTTGAATAAATGCACGAAGTTAAATGATGCAAACTGAATTCAGCTCGGTGCTCGTATCAGGGCCCATCTGTCGCGGCTCCGTTCCGTATTTGTCCGAATTCCGGGCCCGGCGTCCGTCGGCTGCATTCAGAGCCCATCCGTCGTGCGCCGGGCCGTTCTGATTTCACTGCACTCCTGCATTCTGAGTGCTCCCCGGTCGGCCACAGCGCTGCGGGGCGCTTCAGAGCCGAGCGGCGCGGCGGCCGCTGGAATCTCCGCCACCGGCCGCCCGTCATTGATCGCTCCAATACCGCGCCTGGTGGCGAGCGGAGCGACGGACAACACCAGGAGAGGACCGAACGGACCAATGGGGCACCAAGCGATGGACCAAATGACCAAGGACCAACGGGGCACGGACCAAGGACCAATAGACGAACGGACCACGGACCAACGGAACACGGACCAACGAAACACGGACCAAAGGAACAGGACCAACGGAACAGACCATAGACTAGCA